GTTTAGGGGGAATGGATGGGGATGGATGGGGGGTTGGGGGTTTTGGCCAACTGGTGAAAGATTGGATGTCGGAAGTTGATGGGTCATGTTTTTCGGACCATAGATGTTTGCTGGGAAAAACCACTCGGTGAAGGGGATGGATAGTACCCTGAGCTTATGCTATAAATGGGAACCTAAAGGGGATATATAACCAACACTTGATTAAATATGAGGTTATCCAAGATATTCTAAGATTGACCCATGTGGTTGAGATTTAGGTCCTGTGCACTTCATCAGCCACCTTGTACATTGCACCGCTGGAGAGTCAACAGCCAAGGAGAACAAAGCTCTTGCGATGAGATGTCAATGATCCAACAGATTGGAGTTTTAAACTTTGAACTCCATGCCATTTGAGGTCCCAAGAAAAATAAGCGTTCGCGCACACATCAGGCAATGGAACTCAAATCAGATTTAGTAAACCCCTAATAGATTACTCATAGGTTTGGGTGCAGATTTTGGCTAATCCGTGATACCTTTGGTCCGTGGCACTTGGTTCTTCGCCACCTTTTGCGTCATAAAATCTGGGACCTTAAGATCCCAGCTGCTGATGTCCATATTTTCACCTTGCTCAACAGCCCAGCCCAGCCCAGCCGCTCGCAGTGTACAGCCTTCGCTCGCTTGGAGAGAAAATTTGTTGGTTGAATCACGGCGAAGTTGGGGCATCCTGACAGTACAAGTTTTGAGTTGTCAAACCCGCAGAAAAAATGTGGTCATGTGGTGGTAAAGCCATGTAAACCCACTAAAGCAGCCCCATTTTACCCGAAATTGGCGGTAGAAACATGTAGAAACCATCCTGAAATGGTCCATAATTGGGTTTACCACATTGGACAGCTTTGGATTGAGCCAGATCCAAGCCCTTCAGGCTGGGATGCTTCCCGGTGCGTGGGGAACTTGGCCCTGACCGGTGAGCATGTCGCGATGGGAGATACCCGGTTGACGTTGGGCCCGAAAAGGGGTATGAGTTCCCAAAACCTCTTTGTTTGGGAGGTTAGTGATGTTCAACAAATACAAATTCGTTCCATCAGCACCCCCATTTATATATACTTTAATCTCTTTTACGTGTTTTTTTTGATGTTGAATTTGTTTGGTTTGATCCCATCTATTGTTAACATCTTGTCCCAAGATCCCCCGTTCCCTGGCCAACTCTCGGCCCAGGTCTACACCCATTGATGGCTTGTTACATTGCCGGTCGCCCCAGTGGCATGGAACGACTAGGTGAAGCCAAGAGTCGGGCCGTTGATGCCAAGATTCCCTCCTGAAATGTGCATAAGTCATCAGCCGTCCATATGCTTCGTGTGTAATGTATGATATATGATATATATAATATATATATATATCCAGTGTATCCAATATATCCAATATATCCAATATATCCAATATATATATATACCTAATTACATGTGGGTGATTTTTAAAGCGCTAAGCCATGGTGAATATTCCATACTCGTACATTGAGCATCTGGGATTCTTTCGTTGTCACCAGTTGCGATCAGTTGCGTAGCTTTGTGATGTTTGCACCGCCGATGGTGAGGTGGTGATAGCACATTTCCCGGCATTGGTGTGCCAGAGGGGCCCTCAGAGAAACTGTTTCTCAGAGGTTTGTTTGGTATTGGCGAAAGGATTGCTTTACCGGGACATATGGGGGTTTCCATCAATGAGGCTACCCCAATAGCTGAATGGTCTATTTCATGGAAAATCCATGAAAATCCAATCAAAATGGATGATAACTGGGGGTACCCCCATGACTTAGGACACCTCCATATGCGGTAATCCATCAATGGTGGGAAACAGAAAATATGGATGTCGAAGCATTCCACCAAACATGGGCCGGTAACGAGATTCCACCATCCTCTCGGCGGGTGACGCGCCAACCGGGGGTACTGGGGTATCAGCTTGGGATGGTTGGGTGACTAACGTGACTTCACATAGCGACGTTACAACGTTGATTATGATTACCCTCTGCTAATTTGTTACATAGCTATTGAACATGGCCCATTAAACATGGTGGATCTTTCCACAGCTAACTGTTAGTTTACCAGAGGGTAGTAGGGTTACTTGTCCCAAGAGACCTTCAGCTGGATCAACTATTATGACTACCCTCAAGTAATCTGTTACAGTTTGCTATATGGAAGCGGTCCATGTGCGGATGATCAACCTATATTATCCTATATTTACCTATCACTACCTATCAAGAATGGTGATTACCCATAGCGACGTTAAACAACCAGAGAATACCGTATATATATATATGTGTGTATGTATATTATATTTGGGTTGGTGAAAATCCCATTCTCCAGAACTTTGGGTTGGATATTTTGTTTTTTAGTTCATTAAACTCAATCCCATGAAATCCGGAACTTTGTTGGACACAGCCAGCCACTTCCAAGGCCGCAGTGGCCAGACGGAGCCCCAGTGCGGCATTTTCGGCCAACGCTATCCCCAAAATAAGATATGGGGATGGGTTCAAAAAATAAACAAAAATAAAGACCTGGGGGACCACAGGTTTAGTCGTCTACTTTCAGTATTAAAAAAACCTCAATTTTGACCCATAGCCATGTGTTCACATAGTATTTGGGGGATGCAATGGGGCTGCAATTGGGTTTATTGATGGCATAAACATGGTGATAACCTCCATAAGTTGGGATATGACCCTGGCAAAATGGGATTTACTCTTTCTCACTCAAACATGGCTGGCTGGGGAATCAACGCATTAAATGGAGGTGTCTAGCTGGGAAAATCATTGAATTAAATGGGGTATTTTTCAGCGCGCCATGTTTGATTGCTGGAAGATATAGACATGTGATTCAAAACCATATGTTTTTTTTCTATATGTTCAATGATGGTGAGTTTTCCAATGCTTTCGATTTTTCTTAAGGATCAATATAGAATCCAGTATGCCTTTGTTGAGTCTGTGGATCGCTGGCGTCATTGCCCGTGTCGCCTCCGCATCCTCCTTATCATGCAGCATTTTCTCATCACCAGAGATGAGAAGTCATCAATCATCATGAATCATCGATCATCAAATCATCATCACTCATCATTGTCCACCAGCACCACAAGTCATTCTCCGTTCGCATTGAGGCGGCTTTTCAGCGGCCAATGTGCTGCTATCGGCCGGCACCTCAAGCTTTTTTCAAGCCCAGCTCCAGGTCATTGGTGAAAGGATGCCATGGCAGTGGTTCGAATACGACAGTGGACGTTCTTTCGGTGCCAATGCGAACCAATTGAACTAGAAATTTGTTTGGAGACTGCTGTTTTCGATATCGGCATATTCGAAACGGTTTGTTGTTTGGTCGCAATTAGGGGGTAGTGAGTGCGTGCCCAAACTGTCAAGGTTGAGGAGCATCTTGAGGCAGACTTGGGTCCAGTTGAGGGTGTTGGGTGGGGCTACCGAGGGTGATTTTTGGAGATGGAGATGACTCGAGCCCGGAAAAAGAAGCGTGTACGACTACATTCACTGGATACAGTTGGTCACATACATACTATCATCCATAGTCACTTTTGTGAATTTGATCAGCAACTTTGGAATCTGACTGAACTACTGAAACAACTGAAACAACAATGAGGGATAGAAACGCCAAGTCATGTGTTTTTTTCGAAGTGGCTTGGCGATCTTACTGGAACGCCCGACCCTCTTAGGTTTGGCATGTTTAGCGGCGCCCCAACAACAAGCTGGAAGAGAAAATATCCGTCGAACAAAGCGGGAAAATGACGGTTAACTAGCTTTTTGGGGCTTGCTAAGCAGGTGTTTGATCTGTCAAATCCAATAGTTCCAATGGTCTCAATCATCCCAATAGTTCAACTAATCCCACTAATCCCACCGTTGGCATTTTTCACCATAGATGTTTTGAGGGTTTCATGCCACGTGGCACGTGAATCGGCCGCCAGACCCTGGATGCCATGAAGATCCCCTGACAGTGTTGGGAAAAAGGGAGTGGCAGGGAAGGGAAGGGTGCCCAGCTGGCCATTTTTGGAATTTTTGAATGGCATATGCGGATATATGTGGCATATATGCGGCATATATGCTCCATTTTCCATGGAAAAATCATGGAAAAAAAACATTAAAAACATGAGGACGATCATGTGATTATTTTTGATGTCCATGGTATATCGTAAATTTTGCCAGGTTGCATTGCCAGATGTGTTTTTTTTCCTAGGCCAAGAATGGCCATGAGTGGATTGTTTCCGCCTTTGACTAAAATGTGCTGCGTGACAGCGGTAGAGACAACCAGCTACGCGTGAAATCCCCACCAATGACACAAACAAAAAAAACAACAAATTCAGGGGTGACAACGAGACACACCAGGGGACAGTCGAATGCACGGATGCAAAATGACAAATGCCGGACCGAATGCATATGAATGCATCCTCTCAGTGTGGATGTGTGTCCACTAAGGACGGAATGGCATACTCACCGGTGGTTAAAGATGCAGTCAGTTTAACAGCAGGGACCCAAAAACTATTTCCAAGATCCTTCAGGGCTCCTGATTGCGAGACCCACTCACCAGGAAAGATTGGACACTGGTGGTGGCGGGTCCAATTAACAATACAGTTCCATGTAAAACTCTGCTGTGAAAGTTTAAACTCAGTTTCAACGTATTCCAAATTCTGATCAACAAGGTAAATATTGGCATTTGGCTGATTTTTCCCCTTAGGTTTGACTGGAAGGGGCACTATGGTTTTTGTATTTAATGCAAAGTCTATATATAGTTCCAACATGGCTGCTGGCCTGGATTCCACATTCGACCAGAGACTTCAATATAAAATCCTCCCAACACAAGAATCTCAGAGCAGTCAACCGACATGGGCGGATTTTTTTTATGTTCATCCCTTCTTCCAGGAAATCATGGAAATCCATCAGAAAGCCGGGAATGGCTACCCTTTCCCAGAACTGCTGAGCACTATTCCACCGTTGCTTTCCATATTTTTCCATCCTGTTTGCTGCTCAAAACCGTTGAGATGTGTCGAAATCTGCCGTGTTGAACCTTCAGAGACTTAGCCGCAATTGGTCAATGGGGCTGCCACCAGGCAATTTTTACATTGGTTTCTCTGATTCTTAAAAAATATGAGTTGAAACAGGCATGGAATCCATGGAAGTCGAGTTTCCTCATGTCCAATAGGAAGATCATTCTTCACGGAAAGGGTCATTTTCCACTTCAAGGCTTTTCAGGTGGACTCATGGCTTCGCTGGAAGAGTCTTTCAACTTCAATTCTTTACTGGCCATCTGAACTATGTATATACTTATATAACTTATATAATCTTATATACTGTTTTTTCCCCATAAAAGTGGTATATTTACTGGACATGGTGTTGGGATTCTCTGTGAAGTGGTTCCTTCTCCGCATCCAGCCGTGCCTCGTTCCAGGTGATGGCGATGTTCCAAGTGCCCACACGGCCTGCCGGCCACGTTCATGTCGAATTCAAAGCCGGACGCATGGATTGGGATGGCAGGATGGCTCCTCAGCAGAACTGGGGGATGTGAATCCACGTGAATCCCCAAAAAATCGTGGCTTTAAAAGAACGGATGCCCAGATCATTGCCAGCTAGATCACTTAGATCAAAGGACTCTATATTTATTAGGATTGTTATACATCGCAGTTACCAACTTTGATCGCTCCAAGATGGCCCATCTCTGGCGTCATCCCTCAGGTGACTCCTGACAAGCGCAAGGGCAAGATCCTCCTCTATACCTCTGAGGAAGATCAGCTCACCCACTTCCAGTGGATGGATCGTGACAAGAACGAGGTGCCCCTTCGGGTGCTGCGGTGGTACCTCTTATGGAGCCCATGTAGCAGATAAGGGGCCTGTGATTGTAGGGCCTGGTAGTGGGGATGACTTTACAAAACAGCTCCAAGGTTGCTGGTGGCTTGCCACAAAACACCGCGATCAGATTGGAGTGGTTTTGTCAAACGGGAGGGAGAGGAGTGAAGGCCAATTGAAAGACGACGGAGCGTTAAATTGGACAAGTATTCAACACTTTTTATATAGGCCAATTGCAGCTCCTTGGCTGATCTTCTAGCATTCAACCTCGAGAGAGGGAGAATATGTAGCAGTTCCCAACACTTTTTGGATTTTTGGGCCCTTAGCATCCCTGCTTGGCCCATTTGCAAAACTTGTCCTGGGAATGTGCGGGTGTGAATCCTGTGGTTACCTGGTTAGCAAGTGGCTAAGAACATGTACGCTCTGGTAAACCAACATACCGTACCTATTGAAAATGGTGATTTATAGTGGATATTTACCGATTAAGAATGGTGATTTTTCATAATGCCAACATCGGATTAATCACCCCCCCCCCCGGTAGGTCAGTCGGACCTTCTGGCTAGTTTTCTTGACCGCCCCTTAATAATAAGCAACTCTGAACCAAAAAACTTTGGATATGGCTTACGTCAATTAGATCTTAATAGAATTCCATTGGATTTGTTAAAATCTCATGGATCAGAAAGGTGGTTGATTAATCAGGGGCAAACCGTGGTTATTATTAATGGGGGACATGGGCTCATGGGGGGTACCCTTTGGGAGCTATCCAAACTGATGATTTTTATAAAGATTTTAATTAGAAATCGATCATTTGGGGAATAGTAGTTTTTTGAAATTTTCAATGATCAACTTAAACCTTAAGTATAACAATGATGATAAAAAAAAAGAGGTAAAAAGCAATTGGAAATAAATAGAATTGGAAATAAAATTGTTGAATAAAAAAATGGATTTCAGCACAGGGGGTTGATTAATCATGTCCCAGCCAAACGGTTTATTAATCCTGGGGGACCACCTTTTTTTAAATTACAAAAAAAAAATGGGCAGAGGGGGTTGATTAATACCGCGGGGATTATTAATCCTAACTTGGCATTAGTTATGTTAGTTTACCAGAGGGTAAGAAGCTTATGATACCCCAGCTCTATTAATCGATATTAATCGATATTAATCTATATTATTGTTAAGGGTCCTAAGCCACAAGAGCAGTGCCTGGGTTGCACTGCTCCAAGTGGGCAGGTGGTCACCGACTTGATTGTCATCAATGATGCATACCTCGAAAGGACGGTCCGCTGATGGTCGAAAGAACATGGCATACTTCAACATGGCAAGTCTACTGGGGAACATATGGGAAAATAATGATTAATTATGATTAACTTTGATTAAGCATTATTTTTTGGCTACCCTATTCTGTGAGACAACTTGTATGCAAACATCCCACCGGAGTTCTTCAGATGGCGCTTCTAAAGTCGAAAAAAAAGCTCAAGTTGAGAAATGATTTTGTCACTAATATCACTGTATAGTGGCCTATGGCTTTGTCGACATGCTCGACTGCTCGACCATACCATGTTCAAATAATAGCATTTTGGGATGACTATACCTCACCTTCACCAATTGGCCATATAGCGGCGCCTGTTCACCTCCTCTGCAATAGCCTATTGTGACTATTGTGGTTTTTCAGGATAGCAAACTTGGAGTGACACCCATGCAGGAACTTGAAGGGGCAGACCACAGCTCACCGACTGTTAAGCCTTGGAGAGGCTTAGACCAAGATAGAAATGAGGACTCAAAGTTGTGTAGATGATTTACTTCTTAGACATTTGGATTTCACACACTTTCACCCATGTCCGATTTAAGTTCATCAAAAGGACATCTTGGGCCCACCTCCCTGTGAGGATCCAGAAGTGCACTTCAGGCCGTGCTTACATCCTACGCTTCACATCCTCAGATAAGAAGGTGTTCTTTTGGATGCAGGAACCCTCCACCGACAAGGACCGCTGCCACTGCCAGTTGCTGCCATCTTTAATCTCAAAAAACAGTGCTGAAGTCCGTGATGTGTGAAACCAGCAAGCGTGGGCATTTGTGGTTTTTTGTGGTGAAGTTGGGGAATTGCGGGGTTCTAGATTATTAAATCGGAGATCTTCGGCACTGCCCCCTTTTTACACGAGGTGGTGCCCCTTAGAGTTATAAGTCAGTTTATGAGCCAATCTGACTATACGTTAGTTTTCTCATCACCATGAATCATATAAACCCTATATATATATATGATGTTAAATGTTCAGAAACCAACTTAGACAACTATAGGGGGCACCACAGGACGACGAGAACATTAAGAAGTTCAACGAAGCCGTGGGCGCCACCATTCCCGAGAAGCCAACGGCAGCGACCCCGGCCGCAGCCCCCGCGGCCGCCGCGACACCAGCGGCTGCAGCACCCGCAGCGGCGACGCAGGAGATCGATCCACAGCTGCGGGCCGTGCTGACTCAGTGACTTGGAGAACTCTGATCATCGGGCTGAAAATGGCGTTTTTTTTTGGTCAATGTATTTCAAAGACGAGAAAGGGTATATAAGATTGTATAAACATCTAATTATTAGATCACTATTCAATATCTACAGATCTATTGAATTGGCTGGAATCAGCTGTACACATTTTGATCGTTTGATCAAATTATGATAATTCCGTCCAAATCTTTGTTCCTGATTGCTAGTATCCATTTAGATAATTTAGATTTGTTTAGTAAATAATAATGCCATCATGAAAAATCAACCACTATCAACCTATAACCTCCATGGTTTATCTACACAAGAAATGATGATCTTCGTTTCTGGTCTCCCAGGTTCCTAACTTCACAGGGCGGCGCTGGCGCCGGCATGGCTCAACGGGCGCCGTTGCCCATGACCACCGTGCTGACCACCGAAGTGCTGCAGAGCCTGCTGACGGACGAGGCCGCATGCAGCGCCTTGACAAAAAAGAAAGGAGCTGGAGGGAAAATTGGAGCTTCCCATATGGTGGTATATCTAATATGGGATATATATGAGGATATATTTTGATGGGATATCATGATTCTCATATATTCTCATGGTGGTTTTGGCTGGTTCGAATTGTGTTTACAGCTCTGGTTTTGTGGGACTACTGATGGGATCATCATGAGCCATCCCCAAGGTGAGATGATCGGATTGCTGCCTGAGAGCCACAAGAACCAGGACGCATCCGTGGCAAACAAAAACCCTTGGACATGTGAAAATCCATCGGAGATTCCAGGGAAAATCCTGCGAAAAATCAGAGGAAATCTGTCCATGGAGGTTTATAGATGGGAAAATCAGTAAATGAGCCGTTTTCCATAGCTCCGTGGCTCCGTTAGTCTGGAAAGTATAGATTGAAATTTATGGACACTGATTGCTGGTTATAGGCTCGTGTGTTTATTGCCGGGTTGCGGATCAAGCGCACGATCCACGGGATGGTTCTCCCAATGGATGACTAAAGAAACCAATAGCAGGTATGTTCAGGTGAGTTATGTTTTACCCTTTGGTAAACTGTGACATAACTTACATAACTATGGAACATCACCATTTTTAGTAGGTAAATCAACAATTTCTATGGCCATTTTCAATAGCTATGTTAAATTACCAGAGGGTACATGGTAATCATTGTAATCATCATCGTTACTGTCACTCAAATGATGTTCCTTCTTCTTTTCGTCTCCTTCTGGTTCTTTGTTCTCTTAAGTTGTTTATGATCATTACATATCACTATCAGTATATATATATATTATAGATTATAATTACATATATATAATTATATATAATTATATATATTAGGTTTATCGGTTTATCATGATATGTTCATATCGATCACGACTATCATTGCATCTGCATCTTTTTTCCGTGACAAAGTCCTGCACCTCCAACGGATCTTGGTGGTAAAATCCTATTCAAAATCCCAGATCTCCATAGTTCCCTAGATTTCCACATATTTCAAAACTTTCAAACATATTTTCCCTATATATATATTTTTTTTTCCTATATATTTCCACATATTTCCATATATGGCAGTGTGTCAAAACCAATAGTACCCCTTTTTTGTTCGCATCAAAATAGCTGGGATTTATGGATGTTCATCCCATTAATAAAATGGTATTCATAGGTTAATAGGTATTGATCCATACCCCATATACAGCTCCCATTCCCATGCCACATCCCCACCAGGAAGGCCTCTCGGAGGTCCTGGCCTCGCCGCAGCTGCAGCAGAGTCTGTCGGCGCTGACGCAGGCGGTGCACTCGGATCAGCTACCGGTGCTCCTGGCCTCGCTGGGCCTCGACCCTTCGGTGCGACCTCTAGGGGAGGGACAGAGTCACGGAGGGATCAGGGATTTTTGGGTGGGAAGAAAGCGGTGGTTACTTAGTAATAGGATATGATTAACCATTATTTACCACTATTAATGGGGGATTATATTACCTATGGTTGGTTTAATATGACCGGTGGTTAATAGTGGTATAAATAATGGTAAATGATGGTAAATATGGTGATTAATGGATGACTAATGATGATTAATATGGGTAAAACAATATATGATAAACCACCCATTTGGGACTGGTGTGTACCAGCTATTGGCATGGTGATTTGGGGGACGGTTTATGGCATTGTTTTATCCACATTCGATGTTTTAAGAGGGATAGTGGAGATTTACGACAATGGAATCGATTGGGATGAATTTGATCACCGAAGAACAATGAGGTCACTGGAATGATCGTTCAAATGGCCATAAAACAGCTCTTCGGGTTTGTGAATTACTTTAATTTTCCAGAAAACGTGGATGTCCTTTTCCTGGGTGGTTGATAATGGAGGGGTCCCGCGATACAACAATCAGTAGGCTAATGAGAATGAATATTAACGGTATGCCAACCTGACTTCCAAAGGGACAATATCGGGTGAGACTTGTCGATTTCACTGGTGAAGCATGGAATGGATTTGATCTCGGTTTCCGAGATTGCGATGGAGAGAGAAAACATTCAATAAAAGCTGGGGATTGATGATTTGATTAGGGATTCCATTTTTATCACTCGATTTACTGTAAATGTTGCCAATTTTGGCTGGTGATTCAGGCAGAATAATGTGGTAAACCCAATAACAAACCATCCCGTTAACCAACCATTTGAGGGTCATTTTACATCGTCCCAGTCATAGGGCTCTACTCAAGTTCATAAACCTCTATTAGGGATCTATTGTTTATCATCATTATCCCATGATCCATGATTCATATTATCCCATTAATCTCCTAGATTTTCCAATTATTGCCCCATATTTATACCATCTTCTCCCACAAAACATTGGCTTTACCACAGCTCCATGGGAACGCCAACCCCCCGGCGGAAATTGAGGTGATCAACGGCGCGTCGGGCGATGCCTTAGAGCTGCTGTGCCGCGCCATGGAAAGCAAACTCAAGGAGTAGAGGACCGAGACCAAATGGGAAAAGATGGAGGGATTTTATGTCTACCCTCTGGTTATTTAACATAGCCATGGAAAATGACCCATTTATAGATGGTTTTTTCCTATTAAAAATGGTGATGTTCCATGGCTATGTTAAATAACCAGATGGTATTTGATGTGAGTAAAGCAAGGAATCATCCCGAAGTTTACCATAAATGGATATAAATGGGTGCTATAAACCATCGAAAAATTGGTGGTTTATTGTTGTTGTACTAACATGACCAGAAATTGTTTGGATTTAGAAAGATCTAGATTATGTTTAGCTTAGCATTTAGATTTGTTTGATGATTGACATGTTTTTGTTAAACGTTTGTACCATCTGAAAACCGGGATCGATTGAACCTTTCACCGACAAAATGAAACAAATGAAATAATTTATATAATCCTTTTACCAAACTTCCCACACCTGGTACAGTGGATGTTGTACATCATGTTGCATCATGTTGCCATGTTTCACTGTTTTCGTGTGTGTGAGTGTGTGTGTGTTTGTTCTTGGGTCTTTCGTTGGCTGGAATGTGTTTGTCATCGAGCTTCAACCTGTCGTCTTTGGGGCATGATTTCACTGCAGCAGCAGGAAAGGGTCTTGCCGAGGCTGAGGGGATAGACATAAGAGACGACTGGACAGGCGCTTGTGAGCAAAAAAGTGTGGCACTGGGGGCGCTGGGGTTGACATGTTGAGATCCCAAATTCAGCACTGTCCATCAGCGGTTGAAACTAATGGCTTAATGGCCAGTGATGAATCCACCATAAAATGACCACCCAGCATATCTATTTAGAAGATGTTCCACTCGATATTTAGAAGATGTTCCACTCGATATTTAGAACATGTTCCACTCGATATTTAGAAGATGATTCACTCGATATTTGGAATGTTTTAGGCGGACAAACTCGAAATGGGGAGATGTCGATGTCTATTCCCATGGATTACCGGAGAGCAATCGAAGATTTCTGTCATCCTATGGCCTGCCCACATTCACAGCTGCTCAGTTGAGTGGATGATAGTAACATCAAAACATCTCAAAACGGAATAACACAAATAGAACGGAGACCAGCTATTAATTAGCCATTGTAAAATTATATAAATATATAGTATATACGCATTACGCTAAAAGCCCAAAGTCCTAGAATTCTGAATGGGTCCTCCCACCCTTTTATAAACGGTCGTGGTACCACGACTTCAATAGGTTTTCCACGATTTGTCCATGGGAAAGTGTGGCACCATGTTTTCTCCAATTATATATATATATATGTTCATTATTGTTCATTGCATAATTAGAAGTTCTTCGCAATGGCCCAATGATTTTTGTATGCAGTAGCTAGGCTCTGGAGGCGCACGGCGAAAAGAAAACAAGTAGCCATTAGTAACCCTGCTTTCAGCAAGATCTCATACATCTCTTTCCTTTTTGGGGTTGCTCTATAATCCCTTCCTCCTAATACTAAACGTCCCCCTAATACTAAAAACAGGCATCCATCTCCAATTTCCGAAAATTTCAGTTTGGCCAATTTGACTTTTAATTGATCCCCTTTAAAAAACAATTCAAAAATCAACCTACCATTTGTGGGTTCTCCCCCCTAATACTAAAAACTAATTCATCCCGGGGTGTTTAGTATTAGGGGGGCTAGTTTTTAGTATTAAGGGTTTTAATTTAGTATTAGGGGTAAGCTTCGAACTGCCATTTTTGGCAATATTTTAATTGCGTTATATAAGGAAATTTAATTGATTTTGAGATCGGAAAAAATAGTTTTTAGTATTAAGGGTTTTAATTTAGTATTAGGGGTAAGCTTCGAACTGCCATTTTTGGCAATATTTTAATTGCGTTATATAAGGAAATTTAATTGATTTTGAGATCGGAAAAAATAGTTTTTAGTATTAAGGGTTTTAATTTAGTATTAGGGGTAAGCTTCGAACTGCCATTTTTGGCAATATTTTAATTGCGTTATATAAAGAAATTTAATTGATTTTGAGATCGGAAAAAATAGTTTTTAGTATTAAGGGTTTTAATTTAGTATTAGGGGTAAGCTTCGAACTGCCATTTTTGGCAATATTTTAATTGCGTTATATAAGGAAATTTAATTGATTTTGAGATCGGAAAAAATAGTTTTTAGTATTAAGGGTTTTAATTTAGTATTAGGGGTAAGCTTCGAACTGCCATTTTTGGCAATATTTTAATTGCGTTATATAAGGAAATTTAATTAATTAATTAATTAACATGACTTCGATTTGGTTCCCTAATAATAAATACCCCCCTAATACTAAAAACTACCTGCCGTGTTTTGTATTAGGGGGGGGGAGGGGGGGGGTTTAGTATTAGGAGGAAGGGATTAATATATATAATATATATATATAATATATATATATAATATATATATATATATGTATATATATATATTATTTGTATATATGTATATTATATATATGTATATATATATATAGGTGATCGAAGGTAATTACTGCGCATAAGCAAACAATACTAGAAGGGGTCCCACCACCCCCCCTTAAGTAGGGGGGACAGCAAAGAGGAACTTGTGGCTATGTATGGTGGAGTGTCCTCATGGCAATGGAAGTATGACAGAAGACAAACATCAACAAACCTTGGCGTTTGCCACTGCCATGTGTATCTTATATATATACACATAAATAAATATATATATATGTGTGTGTGTATACATCAAACTAAACCATGTCAAACCCGATCCTACAGACCTTTGAGATCCTTTGAGCCAATGGGCTGTCGGAGATCCATAGTCACCCAAGTCGCAGGACAAAAAATTAAATGACAGTGCAGATGCAGACCTGAGCCTTGATGTCCTGCGATTCTTTGTATGAGATTTTGCAGGTGCCCCAACATGCCACTTTGGATGAGATTAAATTTGCCTTCAAAAGACGCGCCTTGCAAGTTCATCCAGACAAGGGAGGGAGCAAAGATGCGTTTCACAAAGTCTACCAGGCACTTGAGATCCTGTCTGACCCGGAGGCACGTAAGAAGTACGACCAGCGATTGATAGGGGCCAAAGAGCCTCAGCCAAAAGGCAAAGAACAAATGCCAGGCCGGAGAACAGCACAACAAAGTCATAGAGACCAAGAAAAAAAACCGACCTGCGGCCCCTCAAACAAGACCCACCAGCCAAAACCTGCGCCCAAAACAGTTAGATCTTTGAGAGTGAGACTGATGACGAAGATTCACTTCTTGCTGGGGCAATTGCCGCGCGACGTCCGTTTTCAAGTGATCAGCAAGGATTTTTCGCTCAAACAGCGTGTCCTGTTGCAAGAGTGGATTGTGGAAAATGCTGCAGAGACTGCGACTGGTTCAGATAAGCCAAGTGACCATATGGACCCTGACCCAGTTCCCTCGACTGGATTTTCTGCGGTGAACCCTCCTCAAGACACGGCCAGTCATTGCAGGGTGGTAGCTATTCCCATCCAGTTCCACCGCAAGGCACAAGCTGCTGTGGGCAAGAGCAAGTCCAAAAGTTGGAAGAGGAGCTCGGGCACACGAGGTGTCTGTCGGACCTCGGGGAGTTTGAACTATCATGCAAGTATTTCAGTGGATGGTGTGAAAATCTTCACCCGCTGCTGTGATTTGCCAACAGCTTTGGAGTATTTGGTGATTTTGACATCTGCCAAGCAGAGAGCATTGGATCTCACCACTTCTCAGGGTACATTCGAGGATCGTCTGAAACAAGCGCTCAAGTCTTCTGCACAGGAGCAGGGAAAGAGCCTCGATGAACTCAAATTGCGGTTTCTTGTGACTCAAAGCGTGGGCATTTTCATTGGCAGCATGCTGCTGAAAGCCCCGTCAGTTCGTAACCTGGAAGATGTACGGAAGCTTCGCAAGAGCATGCAGCCGTTCCATGGTTGGGTGAAGCACTGTAGGGGGAAGTACAACATTTACCAGCACTTTTCTCCAGTTGAACTGCACGCACAATGGGAGCAGTTTCAGGCAGCAGTCGCTGAGATGTTTCAAACTGTCGGCGCCGATGCGGCCCCTTGCCTACAACAGATTCGTGCTTCATACCAGGCCACAGACCGACTCCGAAGGGCGCATTTGCAGTCTTGGGAGAAACTGCAGATGGCACTGCAGGAGGGGTTTCCATGATTTTTCCAAATGTTTCCTTTTGCTTGCTTCAAACTTCGAACATATCATAGTTTATCATATTTTATCACCTTTCTGGATTAATCTTGGTTGGGTAAGTCAGCCATTGGGCTTCGTGTTCACCATAAAACTGAGATGTTTCTCGTTTGGTTTGACATCTATAAGGATATGGTCTAGCCATTTTCAGTAATTACATCCATCATTGAAGAAGCACTGTTTCAACAAAGTTGTTTTTCTCACAAGAGGACATCATCTCCTCAAAGACCCGCAGGACAAGAAGAAATGTGTGCCCAAATACCTTCGTTACAAACAGATCCGCAGATTTCAGCTGGACCCTGTGAGGGATAAGTTGATGACTCTGCGGAAGCTGCTTGGGCGATGGGCGCAAGCCCTCTACAGCAAGGACCAGAAACGTCAGCGGCTGCAACAAAAGAAACGGCGGCAAGAAATCTTGCAGCAGCGAAAGAAAGCCAAAGAGGCAGCCAGAACTCTTGGATTTGCTGATTTTTTTTTTGGTTGTCTCTGTGTGTGTTGTGTCCCCTAAATGGAAATCGTTTTCTGATTTCCCTTCAGTTGTATCGATTTTTTGTGGTACTGGGCCTGTATTGTATGGGACATCCAAGGAAAAGAGTTTCTGAAGAGGATGAGAGATCCAAGCCTCACCATGGAGGACATTCTCGGGCCGAAAATCGAGTGCTGCTGCTGTTGCTTGGGGAATGTTAAGGATATCTTGGGGCCACTCTGATGATGTCATGCCCTCTGTCACCTGTGATGAAGCATGAAACTTGACAGAAACGGTTCTCTGTCAACCTTTCTCATTAATTAGCCACCAGCTTGATGCGACACGTCAATGGGCTTGAAGTTGGGGACACCAAATAGTTTCACGACAAAAAACGTCCACGAATATCGGAGATCTTACCCTTTCGCTATCCACTGGCATCGTGTTTGGGTGACACAGGCATCGCACCCCCAAAGCCCTTGGTATTTACAATTTCATATGGCTTGTGTTGATTACATCGGTTATGTATGGTTATGACCTTGGTGGAAGAACTCCTTCTCGGCGATGAAGCCATACATACTATAGTTACTAGAGTCTCATTACTTTCCCACCTCTCTTGACTGAAGGGGATGTCGGAACTTGACTCCACAATTGCCAGATTTGGGTTTTAAGAATTGCACGAAACCTCAGTATTGAAGGACAAAAACGCGCCAGTTTTCCGGTTAAGATTTTGAATGGGATGACAATGTGCTGGCCCCCACGTTGACCATGTGATTGTCCATTCCTCATTCCCATTCATATCATTATTATATCATTTATTCAAATCTATTCCCTTGTCGGAAAGCAACTTCTCCTTGTCGGTTTGTCCATGGGATCGATCTGATGGCTCAAGCCGAGCACTGGGAGCGGCTGGAAGTGGAAGTCTTTTTTCGGAGAGGCGGCGTCGATATCTGTGGAATGGTGCTCGGCTCTACCAGAAGGGTGAAATTCATAGAGGGTTCTTTGAAAATGGTACTTGTTTTGATTTAGGTAAGAAAAGGCATTTGATGGCTTGGAATGATTTTGAAAATCAGCGTCCCATTCAAATGGCAATTTGAGGTACTGTATATAATTATACATCTCATTTTTGGACAAACCCACCCTATGGGCATGATACCCAACAGCTGGTGAATATATAGAGCAACGTTGATGAAACCTGGAGTCTTGGTGGCAGTTGTTACAGTAAACTTTGGAAAGAAACCAGATGGTTTTACCCTTCCATCTCTCCATGGTTTCGATAATCTTTTCATTGAACATGTTAACCGCCAGTTCCTTTGATCTCCGAAGCATCTACAAAGTACCTCTAGGAGGATTCATGTCGTATAGGACATCATACAGCGATTCTTGGTGACCAGATTAATACTGGCTGGTGGTTTCAAACATGGCTGGATTATTTTCCATTTCATATATGGATTGTCATCCTTCCCATTGACGAACTCATATTTTTCACCATGGTTAAAACCACCAACCAGATTATTATTAACCATCATTAACCATAAAATAACCACATATTCACCATTATTTAACAGCATATATTTCACAAATGACCTTTGAAGCCCCAGGCTATGGAGATCCTGCTCAGCGGCCTAGCGGGTGAGCTGTGCGGTCTCGCAGCGAAGGGAGGCGAATGCATCGCAGAGCTGAAACGAAGCTTCGAGGTGAGGAGGGGAGTGCGGAGGGGTGCTATTGGGGGATAAGTCAACGAGAGAGAGAGAGAGAGGGGAATTAATATATGAATTTATCATAATTCAAAGGTGGAAAGTGTGGAAAGTGATGAAAACTGATGGTAAAATGATGAAAAATGATGATTTAGATGTTATAATTGTTATAATAATAGACGATGATATTTTATTGAAGTTAGCTAAGTTGGTTTCTTATAGGTGAATTCTCTGGTGTAGGGTAGATACATCTTAAGTGGGGGCACCACCTTGTGCAGAGGTGGTTTGGATTTAGCGGCATCCATATTCCCAATAAGAAATGGGGAGCGAAGGACCTACGAAGAGTTTCCCAGCCACATGATAGTAATGATAATAAATTGCTTGCATACTCTTATTTATTATGATTTTGATGTGGACCGTCATTCTACGATGTTTTATTTTGTTATCATTAATTCTGTCTCAATTGTATTCGTTTGCCATTGTTTTCCATGATTGTGACCATGACCACCGCTACAAAAAATGGAGTCCACAAATGGGGGATTAGCCAGGGGGAAGCCCTGGCTGAATATGATGCCCAGCCATTTTCCACAGACAGGGTGCCTAAGATTGGCGGTGTGGTATCAAGTATCATGTACAGTATGGATATGTATGGATTGTAGCTTAGAGTATCCCTCCATTGGACATGTGATGACCCTGTTGGCAACTGGCAATGGCCCAAGAAAACAAAGATGGAAACACAAACAACTACAGTATTCAAAATTATTCAACATAGGGGGATCCTCTTCCGAGCCCGATGTTTGGCAGGGCTTTCCTAATTTGGACAGAACATATGTGGCATTAGGTTTTCATGAGTCTTTTTCGTGATTTTGTGCGGGCAAGAAAACATTAGAGAGAATTGATGATGTTGATGTCAGTGTGTTTGATAATTCGGTATACGCAAAAATTGCCAGTGCAGTGCAAGGCTGCAAATCATCGGGGACACCTTCTAGCCATGCATGTTGGTGTCCTTTTTCATGAATGAGTTTGGTACTGAAGTGTGTGTTTGATTTACCGAGCAGGTTTTAACCACTATCTAGATCCAACAGATGGGCCTTGTTCATTGGATTCAACGGTGCCGAAGTGGGAGAGAGGGTGACCGTCAGGAGAAGATTGGGGTCGGAGAGCTCAGGGCCCGGCCACACATGGTCAAGTTATTGATACAATGTGGGACCCACAGGAACAAACAAGCCACAAAATTCAAATGCATGGGCTATAAATCATCGCAAGTAGGGGCATGAAGCAATAAACAAACCACAAACTGTGGATGATACATATTACACCGACGAGTCATGAAGTTTCCAAGGTTCCAGTAGATGAGCAGAGGCTGGCTGTGGTCATTTTGGGAAGGGAATCCTGGTGAGTAAACCTTGTTCAGCAGTCAACAATGTTCTCCACGCATATAATTATTAACCTTGCATCGCAGGCTGGCTACTGTATGGAGGTTTGAGATGGTTTGAGCTGTAGTGGGCTGAACCCTAGAGGTCTAAGTCTTCTTTTGAACCCTTGTTTTGTCCAAAACATACTAGGGATATGGATGATATGCCGAGTTTGGGATCCCACCTTCAAGACTGGCAGTTCGTGACTGGCAGTTCTCGGGTCCTGGAACCCTTGGATGCCCAGTTTTAGATGGAATCTGACTCAGGTTCCTCACCCAAGCCAGGAAGGGCATTCACTGGTCAATTATCACGGCCTCGAAATACTGGTAGGGATTTACTGCTCGACATGTTGTTTATGTGTGTTCTGCAATTTTGCCAGGTTTTACGTTGTAGTACCACTGGATGATTAGCCACAACACATTCAAAAAAAAACGATAAAACGGCATTCCACACTGCATTTTTTGCATTGGTCAGCACAATGTGAATCCAGCCCGCCGTCGGATCCTCACATGCAAGGCTCTTTTTGGGCTGCCGAGAGCTACACGATGAAGTTTGTCTCGAAGATATCTATCCAGAGGGCCAAACTGATGGTCGACTCGAGTTAGCACTGGCCACTGGGTTGACAACTGGGCCCTGGAATCTCTGACCATGGAAGTGTTGAAGTGTGACCAGGATGAAGAGGCAATGGGATGATGGTTCCCCGAATTCACAGACCACACCTCCTGGTTGGTGTTTTGGAACATGTTTTATTTTTCATAATATATGGGATAATCCTTCCCATTGACTATATAATGTTTTTCAAGATGGTTAAAACCACCAACCAGCCTCAGTCTATCCAATTTTTGGGTGAAATCGGTCTTCCGACCCTGGGAGGATGGTCCCAACACATCCAGGCGTTAGGTATGACCTAGGAACTTCCTAGCCTTGCATTGTTTGGCTCAACAGATTGAATGATACTCATTGATATTCCATGATGTTCTGATATTGGCTTGGGTAGCTCATGACAGTTCCATGAAAGTATCATATCAAATCATATCATATCATTGGTACCCTGTGATCTTGGAATGACAAATATGTTGCATAATTTTAGGGTCCTACATGGGACGCCGCAGTTGTAAACAGCAGCTGGCCATCATCATTAAACTATCACCAGGACATACGGCGGCTATATATCTAATTATTTAATAATACTAGTATATGTATTTGCATATATATATATATATGTGTGTCTGCGTATATTTATGTATAAATATATATATATATAGATATACATGTCTGTATATATATATAACTTATATATAATTATACATGCATACACACATATATATATATATACATAAACACAAAATATAACCACCAAAAGTGTTTCCAATATAGCCACAAAAAGGGTTTCCATGTTTGTCCCATATTCTCCACGTATCGTCCATTCTCATCCCATATTGTCCATGTTGGGTTTTCCCAGGTGAGAAGATCGCCAACGCACGCGAAGCTCTTGAGGCTGGCGCAGGAAGGCGCGGAAGGACCCAGGTGATTGACTTTTGGTGTGCCTACGAAAAGATAGAAAAAGAATGGGTAGTGTGGGTAAAACAATAATGGGAATGGTTGATAATTACCACCTATTTATGGTGATTTGAAGGATGGTTTGATTATTATTGTTTTACCCACATTAATGGGATATTATGGCCCGAAGATATGATTATGATAATGGATAGCACTGGAAAAGAATGGAGAATATTGAAAATAAGATAGTAACCCCCAAACAGATAAAGAAGAGTTGGACACCTGGAACATATAACTGGATGCAGAAAAATAGATAAAGTGGGAACTCCACAAGACATATCATGCCCCAGGCGTAGGCTCTTATGATCTCTTATGCAGACGGCGTAGGTTGGGTAGGCATTGGCGTAGGCTTGTGTTTGCCTACACCGTGTAAGCTTTTCGTTCGTAACAGTTAGAACTCATTCATTTTGCCTTGGTTAGTTGGTGATATTTGCGGTTTGTGGTTCCAAAGCCTCACGCCACAATCGGAAACAAAAAGAAGGCATGGCTAGGCTCGCGTAGACACCCCTTACAAACCATACCCCGCGTAGGCTACCTCATGCAATGGCGTAGGCTCGGCGTAGAGAGTTGCGTAGGTTATATGTTACTGGTCATCGAAAGACAAGGATCAAAAACACCAGTATGGGGGAAAGCATCCTGGAACACTTTTGCATCGTTTTTTTGGGTTGCTACAATGGATAATAATGGGCAAACATTGGATATGATGGGATACTATGGATATAATTGATAAGAATTATATAATAGGGATATGCATGATATGACTGTGATGTACGTCTACCTCTTTTTTTGGGCTCATATACCCAAAATATCCTAACTATAATGGCAAGTTCTGATGTAATAAGGAAGGTGCTACCATGGGGATATTGTTGATATAATTGATATTATGGGATAATCAGAATAATGGATATAATGGAGACATAACCGGTATGTATATATATATATGACTATATATGTATAATGCATATATGTATAGATAATTTAGTTGGTATTATGGATATCACATGATGTATCTTAATGTATATACATGTGTGTGTGCCCATCAAGAATCAACCTATTTACAGTACTGCAAGCACATTTGAATTACAGTACTGACATGAAAAGTTGCAAGGTGAGGACCCCCAGTTCTAAGTTGGTGGGTCATCCCCCAACTAACATAGGGATTGAGAAACCCCCAAGTCATGGCATGGCCGATTGAAACATAGTTTCAGGGTAGCCTGTAGATGTCATTTCCCTACTGGTCGATTTTTCACTAGAATGTTAATGGTATACTGTATGCCAGATCATCCCTTTAATCTGTCCCAATAGATTGATTAAAGGTTTCTACCCCAGAACTATCCTGATTTTTGTTCCATTCAACCAACTTAAGGCCATTCTGGGATGTAGCTGAATGCTGACATATTGGTGAGTCGCCCAGTTTCTGTTATGAGTCTACTCTCATATGACCCCCATGATCATTGGATACCATGGATCATATTGTTGATTATATTTATCCCATTGCGCCCCATTATATCCCGATTAATTATACTTATTGTTTCTCAGTTTAGTTTCATAATTCATGATTAAAACATACTGGTCCAGCATGCGACGCAGCAAGGCAAATCAAAACTGGCTTATCAGTTTTTTGAATGATATGGATTGATATGGAGTACTATATCTCAATCATATTATGTTTCAATCATATAATATTCTATCTAGTATCTATGATCATCCCCAAATTGTGTCCAGTGAAATCCACATTATTGATGGTTCGTTCCCAATTTTGCCCAACCCAATATCCATTTAGGCAAGCTAGATTCAGGGGCCGAATCACCACCCATCCTTGGATAAATCTGAAAAGTAAATATTGTATACCTTCGATACTATACAAGGTGAGGCCCCCTAGATAGCTAAGCTGGTTTATAATTTATAACTAGATTAACTGTGGTTTATTGATATTTATGGTAGATACTGTATATCTATATAGCTGACGGGTGTTTAGACCCAACTTAAAAACTCTTATAATTGGATGGTATAAAGCATCAAAATAGGGGTGGTTTACTGTTGCTTTACTAACATTAAGTATTATATACTTCCTCTGGAACAGCTACTGTTGATTATACTATATCCCCTTTGATATAACATTTGCTCGTTTAAATATTGGCCGTTCATTATTTAATGTTGTAGTTGATAAAATTAAACATTTACTAAAAATTATATCATACTTAGCAAATAATTGAAGTATATGGAACGGAACTTAGCTGCACTACAACTACGTATAGTTGCCAATTTTTTGAAAAAAGTAGGTTACTTGTGGTTTATGGTGGATCATGCTATAACTATAGTTGATCGTCGTCTTCCTGGCAGGCAGCGAGGCGCTGAGTCGCAAGTGGCTCAGCAAGATGCCGGACGTCTGCCGCGGCGACGCGGCGCTGGTGCGCCTGGTGATCAAACGCGACGGCGTGGCCTTGCAACACGCCAGCGAGGAGCTGAAGGCGGGGGAACTTGGGAAGCTGATGGAACATCACGATGTTATGGGTAAATCAACGAACTCAGGCTATTTTCAATAGCAAACTGTTACTGTAGTTTACCAGAGGCGAATGGGATTCTATTAAATGGGTAGGTTTTTTAACATAGGAAACTGGCCCAAAAGAAATGCAATTGGATTGTAATCACAAGTTTGTTTTTTGACACTTCATGTCACTATGGTCGGGCAACGTCGTACATTAGGGGATCCATGCCCATTGGCAAGATAATACATGATAGTGCTGTCACTAGTTCAAGTTCAGGTTCCCCAGTGCGGACCCGTTTCACTAGGATGACACGTAAGTGTCCAGTACTTGAAGGACCGGCAAGTTTTTGGTGTCAGAAAGTTATAAGAGATATAACTATGGCAAAACGAACCAATACAATCGACATGTTTCAAGAGAAAAACATGTATGCACAATGTACCGAATGATCATACAGACATGTTTGTTTCTGAATCTGTGGCGGATCAATTTAGAGATAGCAAAGAGTGGCTGATATGGGGCCCACAGGCCTGGAAGAAGTCCTATATAATATAATGAAAGATATTTAAGGCTCAAACAGAGACCAGGGCTCATGGGCTCATGGTGATGCTTGTCTCAAGATGTGTCTAGTACACCACTTGGGGCTGGGTGGTACATGGCACAGTCTGGGTCTTCAAAAGATCAAAACACCGTAAACCACGATATATGGAACATTATGGACAAAGCCCCCAACACATGGAGAGAGCATGAAAATACATTACAACCCCATATGACACACCCACACACACACACACGATTAACAATTACACACAGATCGTAGCAGATGTAGATCTGAGCTTTGATGGCCTGCGATCTGTACGACATCTTGCAGGTGCCCCAGCATGCCACTTTGGATGAGATCAAATTTGCCTTCAAAAGACGCGCCTTGCAAGTTCATCCAGACAAGGGCGGCAGCAAAGATGCATTTCACAAAGTCTACCAGGCACTTGAGATCCTGTCTGACCCGGAGGCACGTAAGAAGCACGACCAGCGCTTGATGGGGGCCAAAGAGCCCCAAATGCACGGCAGGGGCCCCGTCTCCGCAGGCAAAACAAAGAACAAGAAACAGACTCACCATTCGAAGTCGAAGAAACCTGGTCCTGAAAACAAACCGCCAAGGCCTGCAGCTAGCACCAAAGCATCCACAGCTGCGGCCCGGCTGAAAGCGAAGCTGATGATGAAGATTCAGCTCTTGCTGAAGCAATTGCCGCGCGAGGTGCGTTTTCAGGCAATCAGCCAGGATTTTTCCCAGAAACAGCGTGTTCTGTTGCAAAAGTGGATGGTCGACAATGCCGCAGAGAACTGTGAGGAAAGCCAAGCTGATCAAGCCGCTGATGCGGACCCTGTAGTTTTTTCAGGCACAGGTGGGTTTGAATCCCAATGGCCTGCTCCAAGTGTTAGAGGCTGCATGGCTTTGGCTATATTCAGAGGCTTCCAAAGACCGAAGCAGAGCCAGGGCGCGCAAAAGGAATCAAAAACATCAAGCAATCGGTCAGGTACAAAAGGTGTTTGCCGCAGAGGTTCAGGTGGACCCGGAGAAGGAAGCGGCAGATACAGGGCCAATGTTGTTGTTGATGGCCTAAGCATTTGCAGCCGAAATTGTGACTTGCCAACAGCTTTGGAATACTTGGTGATCCTGACATCTGCGAAGCAACAAGCATTGGAAGGCACAAATTCTGAAAGTCTTTTTGAGGATTGTTTGGATAGAGCACTCGTTTCCGCTGCAAAGGAACATGAAAAGGGCCTTGACGAGCTCAAACTCAGGTTTTGTGTTCTTCATCATTGTAGCCTTTTGATTGGGCGAAAAAACTTGCAGTCGCCAGTGGTTCAGAGCTTGGAAGATGTGAAGAGGCTTCGCAAGTGCATGGAGCCCATTGGCCACCGAGTGAAACGTTGCAAAGGATTTCGCTATGTTTTTGATTTTTTCTCCCCGCAGGAAGTGCAAGAACTGTGGGAGCAGTTTCAAGCTGCAGTGACTGACATGTGTCAAGCTGTGGGTGCTGACAGTACCAAGTGCCTACGACAGATCCAGTCTTGGCATGACGCAACTGACCGGTTGCGAACTAAGCACCTGCAACTTTGGGAAGTGCGGCGGATGGCAACGAATGACCGCCAAAAGCACGCCAAGCATTTGCGAAAGAACACCATGAGGAGAGCCGCCAGGCTCTACAGTTTGAGTGATCCTGTCAGCTGCAAGCTCACCACTCTGAGGATGCTGCTCAGAAAATGGGGGCACCTACTGACTAAGGAGGCGCAAACACGTGAGAAACAGCGGCTGAAGATTTTGGAACAGCGAAAGAGGCAGAGGGCCAAGAAGAAGACCTCCCATCAGAAAAGGTTCCGCGTGGACCATGGATCTGAACTTGGACCTGAAAAAAGATGAAAAAAGGAGGTCGTTTTCACCAATGCGAGCAGTGTGGCGAAGTTTCCGGGGCGAAGTTGACTGGCCGTATAGACCGTCCTAGGGTAGACAGAAATAAATTGAATGATACATATTGATGCATGAGGATACCCGAAAGGCATTCATTCAAACATTGACAGCACTATCAAACACCAGCTTATTGATAAGCCTCCGCATTCGTTCTCTTTTGAGCCATGGATACTACATTAAACTTATCTAAACTTGATAGATGGCCACATGGTGGATTTGACACCATAAAATCGCTTTTAATCTCCATTCATCACCATACAAATCACCATTGGTTTGGGTAACTGGAAGGATCCACTGAACAGGAAACTTCAGCTGGTGGTGTGTTGCAAGGCCAGGCCATCGCGTTTGATCACCAGGCGCGCCAGTTTCAGTGGGAAAAAACACCCATGGTGGAACCACAATTCACTTCTATCCCAGACACTCCATGTATGGAATATTTCCCTACATTTACCCCAAAAACGACCCAAATGTAGGTAAATATTCTATACATGGAGCATTTGGGTATGTGAAACCATCATAGACCATCCATGTTTTGAGAACGCGAATTTTGATCCACGTAAACGTTCCTTGGTTTCTCCGAAAATAAATTGGGGCCAAACCTTTGAAGAAATCGTGTTCCCTTTTTGAACTTTCCCGGATTGGACAAACTGTTATTAGTTGACCGCTACCTCCACTATGGACCCATATCCAATACCCAACTTTTGATGGTATATTCTCCTGTTTTTGTCCGTTGATGTTGGGTTAGTGATTTCAACGAGGACTCATCATATATCTGGTACGAGTAAGACCCCAACAACACACATACACAACTTTCAAATCACCAGCCATTTTTGTTCAATTACCATGGGGCCATGGGACCATGGACAGCATAAGACTATGACAGCTTGGTGATTTCATGTGATTAATTGGAAGATAATAACGGGGTTTATATAACCATCAATACTGGACCACAATCAGGATGACAGACTCTGACATGTAATGAGGCTTCAAACCACCAACCAAAACAAAGCATGTTTTATATGGGGGTTTCCCGTATTTCTATAGCTAATTCTATAGCCATAACTGCTTAATGATTTCAACCAGGAAGAACATATGTTGTTTTGACCACCAAGATTAGCTAACAAAAGAATGATTTAACGACCAAACATGTGATACTCAGTAGTTCAATGAAAAAGCACGGGTATGTTCAAAACGGCCTGCGCGCAACATTCATGCTGAAATCAAAAATCAAAAAGACAATGATTTCCTCAACCTTGGGATTTCAAAGGTTTGCCCCAGATTTTTGGGACACGCATGTTCTCAAAACGGATGGTTTGACATAGAAATGACTAATTAGACATGGTGGTCCTAAGCAAGTACAAACTAATTGCAATATTGTGTATAGAACTTGATATATACTGTAGTTTGACTATGTAGATATGTAATTCCACCAGTGCCAGGCCAATCCCGAGTTGGTCCTGGAAGCTGTACAACGCAGTGGCTTCGCATTGGAATACGCCGCAGAACACCTGCGCAAAGACAGAGGCTTCGTGCTAAAAGCAGCAACTTGGCGGTCAGCGTGGGGGCCCCTTAAAGGGGCACCAAAAATTGGGATATACCCCGACTATCATGGGGTTCTTCACCAGTAATAATTGCATTTCATGGGACCTGGGGATGATTATGACATATTATGACATGATTTTCGCACCAAAAAAGATCGAACGCTTGGAAACCATCATCTGAATTTAAAACATGGGAATCTGTTTCTACCAGGTCCAGAAGAACGGCTTCGCCCTGGCCCGTGCGTCCGCTGCCTTGCAAGCAGATCCAGCCCCTGGGCTGCGGTTTTCTTGGGAAAAACGTGATTACCCTAGGGTAAACTAACATAGATCTGGACAAGAGCGTCATTTGTAGATCAGGATCCGAGGGAAACCATGGGTTTTCCACATGTGTGTTTAGTTTACCCGGTATTTCCCAAGGTTTCTTTGACTAAATGGAGGTTTCCTAAGATGTGGATACTGGATACCCCAGAAACAATATCAACATTAGACCATTTTAGTGTTGAAACCCATGGTTTTGGGAATCCCTTGGGAAGCACCCAAATTGAACAGACCAAAAAGTTGGAGATGCCCAATACACTTGGTGGAATTGTTTTAGGCAGCAACTTGCGTTTAAAAAGGGGTGGCTCAATTCTAAAATTGTCATGTAACAAGTAAGGATGTTAGTATAGTATGTATTTAGTTAAACTTAGTTGTTCAGGGCCCTTGGAGAAGAACCGAGTCGGAAGGCATGAAATTCCGCGTGTGTGTTTGTCATATTCAACTTTTAGGCTCCGAGGTCATCCATTCTCCATCACCATGGTGGATGCCCTGCAGGAAGTGATCTTAGCATCGATCAGAGATGAAGGCGGTGCCTTTGAATATGCTTCAGAGGACTTGAAAAACGACTATGACTTTGCGCTGGAAGTTGTAGCCATGGGCGGCCCAGGAGAGGGGGGAAGCCGGGGAAAGCGAAGGTGAGTCAGCCCAGTAATTGCGAATTATCATCAACGTTGGTGTTGGATTGGTATTGGTGTTCTACCTGGTGGTTTTAAGATATGCCTTACCCGTCCATCCCCACTTGGCAACAACACGTGTAATGGGTTAGCTCAACCATCAACCAGCAGATGTTTGCCCGATCTTGGTTGATCCAATCCAGACCAATAAATCCCCCTGTTTTCATGGCTCATAGATTTCACTACCGTCGCTGCTCAACCACAGTTTCGTCCCCACCTGAGTTGGCTCAAGGGAAAGCAAAAAATATCCACTTGTTCCCCTCAATAAATACATGTATAATAAACAATGCCCCCATGGAAATTATTTTGTTTTGGAAGGGAATTTTCCCATTGTCCTCAATTTTCCCCCAAGTTTTTGGATGTTTTGTTCCGCTTTGGAAATGATCACAGGTTCCTAGATTTGGATGATGAAACCCTTTCAGGATAAAACATCAAGTTTCCCACAGATTTCCCTTAAATCAATGCATGGATGAATTGAATTTTCTTTGTCCCTAAGTTATTCCCATGTTTTGGAGGATGATTCTCCCCCTGAGAGGCGCAATGGACCACATCTCTGCAGACCTTTGGGACGACCCTCGCTTCGTGATGTGTGCGGTGAAGCGAGCGCCTGGGGCATTGGAACATGCACAGCCGGAGATCAAGGCCAGCCTTTGGGCGGAAAAATATGGAGGTGTCGTAAATTTGCGCCCCCCCCAAATCATCCTTGAACTTAAACCATTTCAGTACCGTTTTTCGGATCGCCCATTTTGAGAAACCCCCAATATGGGGTATGGGCCATATGGGGTGCATTTGTTTAAGGTCCAATAAACCTCGGATTTTGGTATATGATGGTATATGTTGGTCGTTGTCGGTAATTTTTCAGCCTCCAATTATTAGGGGTGCCCATTTTTGATCCATACCGCCCATACCCATAATATAAGTAAAAATGTAGACAGTGATTTTGCGGGAATTTTGCCGAAGAAGATAGATCAAATGATTCAAATGGACCTTGAAGCCATGAAATTTGGATTTGAGGATTCGTTTAACGGATTGGAGGTTAAACCGGCAAGCCAATGGTTTCAGTGCTTGGCAAGCTCCAAACTATTTTGTTAGTGGTGAAATCTAACTTTCCTTATTTTCCAACACGTCGGGGAAAAACATATATGTCCAACATCATTGATCTTCTTAGTTTCCAAAGTTCATCAGGCCAATGATGTCCAACATAAGTCGAAGAAAACATGTTTCCAACATGATGAATTATTTGACTCATTTTGACTCATTGTCATTTTCATTTCGCAGCAGTTAAGGATGTCCTTGTGCTGTCTTGCTGAATTAATTGGCTCGTCTTATAAATAATTCCTTCCCCCTAATATTAAACACCCCCCAAGAAACCATAATTTAGTAGGGGATTTCCACATCAGCGCGATCATTAAATGGTATAGGGGGATGGGATTATCGAAATGTTTGACTGATAGCCAAATCAAACTGATAACTGTATAATTATGGGGATTTGACTGATTACCCCCCAAATAATCCAAATTATGGGGTAATTATCAAGTGATTATCCGAATTTCATCACATGGGTTTGGGTCAATACCTATTAATACCATTATTAGTGGAATGAACATCCATTTACCAGCTATTTTGGGGTTCACTAGGTACCAGGGTTTTGACCCATCCCCACATCTGTTTGTCCCTTGATTTTACCATGTCACTGGCAGGCTGAACCCACCTTCGTCCTCGAAGTCTTGAGCCGTGTTCCAGCGGCCTTGCCTTTTGTGGCAGCTGAGTTGCTCAGAAAAAAAGTCGGCCCCAGCAATGAATAAAGCGCCGTTTTGTTGAATTTAGATGTTGCCAGAATTCGCTAAGTGGATCAAAGTGGTTCATGATTGCGGTATATCATTCCCACTACACTCCAGTTCCAACAGGTTATAGCCCACTTACAAGCCACTTGGCTAATGGTGACAACGTCTAAAGAACAACCCTGTGTCAAGCACAAGGCCCAAGAGCCATCGAGTTGCACCCACCGAAAACTGATAGATGTGCATCCCATGCATCGTAAGCGGGTCATCATGTGATTTCATATATATATATATATGATAAGCATATGGTAAGCTAAGTAGCTAAGTTGCATATGTCATGTTTATATGTGCGCATTCCGTGCCTGGAATATCATCCTTTCTTCATGGCTTATTTATGGCCTATCCGCTGGCACTTGCTCCTGAGGCTGTTGGAGAACCCGCAGTTCTTACTTCGCGCCATCGAACGCAACGGCCAGACCTTGGCCTTCGTTTCAACGGACCTGGCGATGGATGCGACCTTTGTGCTCATGGCCCTGAGGCCGGGGCCGGGTGCCATGGATCTTCCCAGCCCCGGACTTATGGCAGGGTCGATTTGTTGGGATGTTGGGGGAGGGTATGTTCAAATGGAAAATCATCTGAAGTTCTGAAGTATAGAGATGTCTCACTAGAAACATCTAGAAACACCCAAAAGATGATTACTAGAGGGTGTGCAAACAACCAATTGTTATTATAATATATCATATCCATATGTCCAGAGGGTGTGACTTAGTAGCAACCCCAAGGGGACAGAAAAGCGGTAAAGCTTCAACATTTGAGTGTCATATGTACGGAGTTTTTTGATCTATACATGCTTGACATGCCTCCATATGCCGTGTGTAACTTGTTGCTGAAACCTATCCATTGAACCCACTTGTCTTCCATACCTGGTAACGGCTGCAAGCATGGGCCTGGACTTGCCAATGGAAACTTAAATTCCCAACCATCGCCTGATCCAAAGTTATGATCATGAATGATACATGGCACTTGGATGAATTTGGACGAATGTTTTGCCAAACCAATCAATTATAGAATATATTATAAAAAAAAATACTTTACTTCGTGTGATCCCCACCATGACATTTATACATTTTCTTACTGGCAAATCTTCTGGCATTCTATCTGACATATCTTCTGACATTCTATTTGGCATTCTATCTGGCATATCTTCTGGCATATGATCTGGCATATCTTCTGGCATATCTTCTGGCATTCTATCTGGCAAATCTTCTGGCATTCTATTCTATCTGGCAAATCTTTTGGCATTCTATCTGGCATATCTTCTGGCATTTTATCTGGCATATCTTCTGGCATTCTATCTGACATATCTTCTGGCATTCTATCTGGCATATCTTCTGGCATATATTCTGACATATCTTCTGGCATATCTTCTGGCATATCTTCTGGCATATCTTCTGGCATATCTTCTGGCATATCTTCTGGCATATTTTCTGGCATTCTATCCGGCAAATCTTCTGGCATTCTATCTGGCATTGTATCTGGCATATCTTCTGGTATGTTATCTGGCATTCTATCTGGCATATCTTCTGGCATATATTCTGACATATCTTCTGGCATTCTATTTGGCATTCTATCTGGCATATCTTCTGGTATATCTTCTGACATTCTTTCCGACATTCTTTCTAACTTTCTTCTGCACATTCTTTGTCCCATATCTTCCTACATGAGGTCCGGCAGGGAACACTTGGCGTGGATATTCGCGGTTGAGGTCCGGCAGGGAACACTGGGCGTGGATGGTCGTGGTTGAGGTCCGGCAGGGAACACTGGGCGTGGAGGTGGTCGTGGTTGAGGTCCGGCAGGGAACACTGGGCGTGGATGGTCGTGGTTGAGGTCCGGCAGAGAACACTGTGGATCGCGGGTCGCAGTTGGACGAGGACGACGAGGACGACGAGGACGACGAGGACGACGAGGACGACAAGGATGACAAGGATGACAAGGAGGACGAGGAGGACGAGGAGGACGAGGAGGACGAGGAGGACGAGGAGGACGAGGAGGAGAGGAGGAGGAGGAGGACGAGGCAGGAGGAGGCAACTGACATAAAATCTAACAACCCTCACCTGGCAGGTGGGGAAATATATATATATATATGATATAAACAATCCCGGGATCATCATCTTTTGTGCTTTTTTACCATCCCCGGTACATTGGGTTTCCCACATTCTACTGGTGGCTGGGCTCCACTGAGGTGTAACGGCCAGGCCTTATGCCATGTCAACAGGCGCGCGGTTTAGGTGGCCAAAACGTCGGAGCTGCATATGGGGGTCTCTTCAAAATGGGGGGATCCCCAAGTCACCATAGGTTTCAATAGTGTTACTATAGTTTGGTCTCATGACTCGGATGATTTGATAATATTTGATAGCCCCATTCTAGGAAGCTTCCATGTGTTTTCCAACAGAATCCAAGCGTGAACTTGATTTTCTTGGAGTAGAAATGGAACTTTGGCACAGCCCTCGGCTCAGTGCCTACAGGCAGCTTATGAAGGATAAGGGCTTTGCCCTGCAAGCTCTGCAAGCAGCTGGACCCAAAGCTTTGGCTCAGATGCCCGAGGACTTCTGGCAAGAGAGGTTGGGCAGTGACCAGGGAGAGATAGCTGGTTGTCTCAGTGTCGGGATGTGTGAAAGTCACTGAAGGTCCTAGTTTCCTACGATGCGTGTAACGCGTGTAAGTGTTGAAAGGAATGCTGACCATCGTTCTTTATTTTTTTTTCGCAACTTATCTACACTTGGGTTTTGTTAAGGCAAGCAACCTCTTGGAGCAGCAAACAGCAGAGCATGCCTGGGGTTTCGTTTCTGTCAGGGATGTGGCTTTGGCGGGGCTTCGCATTGACGAAGCGTCGATTGAGAAAGTTCCCAAAAAGTTCTGGACGGAGCGCGACTTGGCCATGTCTGTGCAATATTGTTTAAAAAGAAATGATCTTGATCTGAGCTACGCTCCCTTAGTTTTGCTCGTGTCCCTGTTTGTTGAAGGATTCTCTCCAAGATTCAATACACGTCCAACATATTTTTGGGACTGCCACAAGCACCAGGTGAGTTTGTCCTGGCCGCGGTGCGGTTTCAACCCTCGGTGCTGAATATGATCGAGCCAGAATGGCTCAACGACCGCAGGTGCGATCGGAGATCCAGAGCCGAGACTCCATGGAAATTGCTGGGCTGGAATTACCGAGTATCTGAGTCAAGTCACATAATCAGGTATATTATAACGACCTCACTGCGACCTCACTGGATTAAAAGGTTAGTAAGGGGAATTATCCCAATAATTATTAGCCTTATTTCAGGTTAGTAAAATATTGTAATTTACCCATATATTTTTTTTAATATAATGTTAGATATAACATTATATATATATATATAATATATATATATAATATATAATATATAAATATTAACTAATATAACATTATTTATAAAGTTCTAAAAATTATTGTTCACATCCCATTAGGAACCCTCAAACATACTTTGGCTACAAATAATTTTGAGGCCAAACATACTTTTGAGAGGACTCTGGACAGTAAGTATTGCCGAACAAATTGCATGTATTTGGGACCCCGCAAGTTGCTTAATTGAAAATAAAAACATTAGTTTAGCCAAGTATTTTACTTTAAAGGGGACGCAGAAAGCCAAGTATATTCAGCTGATTGAAAAAAAACAGTTACTTTGTTTCGGGTGGTAAAACCAGCCTTTTTAGTGTGGTTCCGAGGTGGTTCAAGGCCACCCCCTTTTGCGAACTTTTTTTAATTTTCATTTTCGATATTTTTGATAAGGGGTTAGTAAAGATCAATTTAAGTAATTAATTCTTTGGGGATTTAAGATTTCAATCTTTGCTTTGAAGGGGAAGGGGTAGCAAAGTATTTTACCATTAAAGGTGATTTAGCTAAGTATTTCTACAGAAAAAAGAGAGTTACTCTGTTCAGTATGCTAAAACATTTCTTTTTATCGTGGGTCCGAGGTGGTTCAAGGCTACCTCTTTTGCGAGTTTGTTTTTTGAACAAGGGATTAATAAAGAAATCCAGATCTTTAAAGTCAGATTCAAAAAAAGGAGGGACAGCATCTGAAAAGAATGGAACATGCAACAACCCGAAAAACCGTTGGCGTGCTCTATTATGTTTTTGCATTATGTTGTCCCTGGATGTGGCGTACTTTGTTATATGATCGGGATTGCTAACGGCTAACGTGATGTCAACATCACATACACTCATTTTTTTAACTATGCAAATGCATTTTACAGTATGTGGCACTTTTGTGATGTGACATGATGTGACTACACCAGACATGTGCATGAAGGCTTCCGATCCATAGCCAGGCGATCAAAGTGTCTTTGCTTGTTTTCCCGCAGAAATCTGATACCATTATATTCTGGCCATATCTTGGGAAAAACTCCAATGTAACAACCAGATTGTACTTCGCTTTTCTAAGTTATACATGTGAAATAGATTGAAATAGTATGACACAATGCAACCATCTATGAGTTTTATTATGTGGTATTGTGTGTATTAAAAATGCACCATTCAAACAGCCATACTTTGGGGCCAGGTTCATTCTGGCAGCGTTACAACGCAATTCCACGTATCCGCTTCGTGTCTGAGGAGCTGCTGAAGGACCATGGGGGACTGGTTTACGGTAAAATTACTTTAAAAAAGGTAACCCCTATACTAATTTAACATAGCTATGGAAAGATCCACCCATTTTTAATGGGAAAATCCACTATTTCAATGGCCATTTTCAATAGCGAAATGTTAGTTTACCAGAGGGTAACCCCTATACTTGGTGGTAAAAACTATGGGTTTCCAGGTAAGATGTTCCCTTCAACCAATCCATTGAGACGTGTGGCAAAACTTAATGCGTTATTTCATGTTTTTTGGTTTACAAGGATTTTAGGCTAGAATTAGCTGATAGAACCACATACCACTAGTAAAAAGATTTGGAAACCTAGATGCTCATAGTTGCAGGACAATCCTACCTCTCGCTAGTGCTTTCCTCCTGGACGCCGGTAGGACCGGGCTTTCGTTTTGGAAGCTTTGTTGACCCACGGCTCAGTGTTAAAGCACTTGCCCCACGAAGCTTGGCGCCGAGCTGAGGTTACGGTTACGGGGTTACCATGGGTTAGCGCTTGGAAATCCAGCGGGGAATGGACACTTCCATCTATGTCCATGGATTGGTCAAGAGTCAAAAGATGTCCCCGCCATGTTTGGAAGGTGATGGAAGGTATCTATGGACTGACGATTTCCGTAGACATGTGAAATGTCCTTTAGTTGGATCTCAGCACGTCCCTGTCATCATTTGGATATGGCTCAAAGTGACCAGCCAATTCAGCCAATTGTGGGTCCAAACAGGTACTCCAAGACTTGCAAAAAAAAGACCAGATGAATACCCTCGGATAAGCCAACCTGGCACTGAAAAAGTTCGGCTATGCCATGCCCAGGGTTTCCAACTGGTTCAATCACTTTCTGTATTGGATGAACATGGATGAACCACGTTTTGCTTATTTTATGTCTTTATTAAGGGACCAACAAAAATGGAAACCCAGAAGCCTGCATACTGTATAACTCTGTATAATTATCCGATTATCCTCTGCTGGTGTGCATCTCAGTTAGTAACTGGCTTATAGGTAGGTTTATAGTTTAATAGCCCCTTACATTGTATATTGATTACAACTATAAGCTGGAGACGTTGTTTACGACCGCGGTAATGTTGACATTTCCACTTGCATGTCATGTGCATTGTACAATCTACACTTACTGGTGGTAGCGCCCGTAACAGGCCGGGAATTTATGGACGTTTTTCTTTCCTTGTTGTTTCTCTCCTTTCCCTTCTTTGGGGTGGGGTTGGTTGGGGGGCAATAGCGTCCACACTTGCACACGTACTTGATTGATGTTACGTCATGATAAGTTCTTTTCAACTTCACGCTACGTTGTAAATCAATAAATATATATATATTTATATTTAGATTTACTTGATGCTACGTCATAAGAACTTCGCTTGAGTTGATGCTACGTCATAAGAACAAGTGGTCAGAATTGAGGATCGTAACGGTCAGTTGGCAAATGAGCAAACCGTGCCGGTCATGAACCTCTTGACCTTGTTTATCTGGTTGGTGGTTTCAAACATTTTTTATTTTCCATAATATATGGGATGTCATCCTTCCCATTGACTTTCATATTTTTCAGAGGGGTAGGTTGAAGCCACCAACCAGTTATAGTTTTATGGTTGACACACACACACACACTACCCTCTGGTAAACCAACAGTTCGCTATTGAAAATGGCCATTGAAATAGTGGATTTACCCATTAATAGCATGGGTGGATCTTTCCATAGTTTTTGGTATGTTTACCAGGCCGGGTATACAGAATCTACTCATCCAGATCCGAGGAGATGCGTTCAGATCCCAGCCTGGTGCTGGCGGCCATTCCCCACAGCGGCTTCGTGTTGGGCTTCGCCGCGGAGGAGCTGCGGCAGAGGAAGAGCTTCGTTCTGCAGGCGGTGAAGCTCAATGGATATGCCTTGATTGGAGCCGGGGCCGAACCCGGGGTCACCGGGGCCGGGCAATCTGGGAATAAAAGGGGGATCTATGTACATGTTCCTCGAATTGAAGTAATGTGGTGCTTTATTAATTACTTGGTTTATTTGGTTAAGTTAAGGATGGTTGAGGATGATTGATTAAAGGCTGTATTTGGCCAAAACTTGACTGGCGGCTTGGGCTGAGTAGATCCGCAACGATGACCCAAGTTGCGATAAGGTTGGTACATTAAAATTAAGTCACATAGATATGGGTGATGGCAACTATGTATATATAAATAATATATGTGATATATATATATACATATGTATAGATCATATACATATATATGATATATCATATACATATATATATGATATATTTTACATACACACACACACATATATATATAGTTGCTGGATCTAGGTTGTCCATATCGTCCATATCTATATGAATTGACCCCAGGGGCGGTGGTTCATCCCATGTAACCGACGTAGATTCGTGGGATGCCAAAGCTTTATGGTGGAATCCCCGATCAACATTTCTCCACTGTTTGCTGGTGAAATTCGCTGAATCCAAGTGCAAAATCCCACTAAAAACCACCAAAAATCCCATGTTAGGTGCTTCAAACCCCCTGGAATCCCAATGAAACTACCATTTTCCCCGGAATTTAGGTTCTTAAATTCGAATCCGAGAAAACTAGACATGTTTTCCATATGGTTTCCATATGATTTTCCTATTTTTGGTGCTTCAACTCCCATGAACTCATCCACCCAGGAACCCCCGACGAGTTGCGCGCGGATCGGGAGGTCGTCCTGGCAGCGGTACGACGGCAGGGACAGCGTCTTGATGGTTACTGAGGTACTTGGGGGTGCAGTTGATGTTATACCATATAACTATATATGGTTATAGTGAATATACTATATAATTAATATATGGTACTTGAGGTTAATATAATATAACTATAACCATATATTAATATAGTATAGTGATACCATATATATATATTAGACGGAATTATATAGTTTCATTGTAGCCATATAGTTGTAATACAACCGGATAGTTTTGCCATATATATATATCATATATATATAGTATTCCATAATTAGTGACATCTATAACCATTAATCATTACCATGGTAGAACTTCGATGGTATCACCATGGTTATAACCGTCACAAAAAACCCCACAAGTTGGGATCAAACCACTTTTTTCACGCTGGTGCCCTGGTCTAACGTCAACATAGTTGGTAAATGGATCGTCATCCAAAAAAATATGGGATTTTAGGTTTTGACCCCCAAAAAAATGTGATTTTTGGAGTTCACATCTGAATTTCACCCTCCAAATCTGGGGAGTTCACCTTCAATTTTGGATTTGACCATCCACAAGTTGGACATGGATGTCAGAGTTGGATTTCACGATCAAGAACTTTGGATGTACCCTCTGGTTATTTAACATAGCTATGGAAAATTGCCCATTTACAGATGATTTTCCCATTGAAACCTCCATTTATAATGGATTTTCCATAGCTATGTTAAATAGCCAGATGGAAACTATCAAAAATAGGAAAGTTACCATCCCCAGCATTTGGGATTGACGGTTTGACTATCCCAGATTTGGGTCTAACTATCCAACTCTCCTTCATTTTATTACCAAAAACCTGATGTGACCATCAACACCGAACGGACTTACAGCAACTAATCCCAGAGATTTGGGTGGATTCGGGCCATGCCTAATGCCTATGTGAATCGCTCAGCTTGTAATCTCTTGCTGTGAAACAGTGATTAATTACTGTGTAGAATTATGAGATGATTTGCTATACCACCAGCTTTAGGCAATTTAGGCCCCCAAAAAAATCAGAAAACAGCAGGGTCACCAGGTGCCGTCACTGAGGTGCCTGGAGTTTGCTTCACCAAAGCTTCGTGGAGACCCCGAGGCTGTCCGAACGTGAAGAAATGGTGTGAGATCACCGTAGTCATAGTCGTTGTAACCCATTTACACACGGGAGAACCACAGTCATAAACCAGTTTTAGATGGGATAAATGGGACAACCACAGTTATAACCCATGTATACATGGGAACTTATACCAGCTGGGCCTATAGGTTTTTTAAGCACTGAAAGAATCCGTGGGCTCGGGAAGCTATCCAGCAGCCAAGGAGCGATGGGTATCCATATTCCGGCCATGGGAGACTTAAATTTCAATTGATGCTTTGCCCTTTTGTTTGCCCTTTTAAAAATGGGGATTAGATTTCATTCCCGCAAACTCTCCCCACTGACAATTGAACTTTTAGCAAGGAATCAACATACCGCCCAGCTGATGATCTCCCACGGGATTGGTTTTAAACTGCTATTAAAAACATATAAAAACCATTGATGGGGGGTTTAATAGATGGTGGATTTTCAATTGCCACGTTACCAGAGGATAATTGGATTAGAAGCCCCTATTGTTGATTGTGAAATCCCATGAACTCCCATTAAAGGCCATTAAAATCCCATCAAAATTAGTCGAAATATCTTGAAATATGGTCATTTACCCAGTTGCTGTGGAAAGTCATCGAGGATCTTTTGCCAGGTTGTCCTTGCTGCCATCAAATCTTCGCCGGAGCCCTTGGTCCATGTGGAGGACCTCGGAAACGACCAGCTAGCTGGTTGATTAAAAAAACCTTGGCGCCGCCTTCAATTGCCACTGTCTAGTTGGTGGTTTCAAACCTATGTATTTGGGATGATGATGATCCCAATATATTATAGTATTGCCATATTATTATATTATAGGATGATCCCAATAATACATATGTATATTGCCATTCAAATATTATTGTGCCACCATATTTGGGATGATGAGGCCCAATGACGAGCATATGTTTCAAGCATTTTCAAGCGGGGAAGTCACCAACCATCTACGTCTTAGGCAAAATGGGGATAATCCCATTCGTGGGACGAAAAATCAATACGGTTCAAACCACCAACCGGATCATCATTGGTGTTGTACCCATTATATCATATCCAGTATGTCATATTATAATATATATTATATATATGTAATGTCTATATCCATCTAAATCCTACTATATCCCCATGATAGCCATTGTCAGCCATGTGAACATCAACTCATATAATCTCTTATCATACTTCGTAAATCTCTCCCACTGTAGGCTACTTAAATCCCCATAAATCCCCATGTATTACCCTCTGGTAAACGTTTACATAACTATGGAAAATCACCATTTTTACTGGGTATTACGGTAAATCAACTATTTCTACGACCATTTTCAATAGCTATGTGACAAATTACCAGAGGAATCCCCATCTATCCCCATGTATTATTGGTTAAACCTCCATTCTTCGCCATTGCAGGACTCTCTCTGGTCCCAGCCGAGCTTCGTCCTCGATGCCTGCGAACTCCACGCCTGTGCGCTGCAGCACGCGGTGGACGCGCTGCGTCAGAACCGGGCCTTTGTGCGTGCGGCCTTCGAACGCAATGCCGAATGCCTGTGCTACCGGGCCCTCGGTTTAGGGATGTTTGGGCTCTGTTACCCTCTGGTAAACATACAAAAAGCTATTGAAAATGGCCATTGAAATAGTGGATTTACCTATAAATGGTGATTTTCTATAGCAAACTGTTAGTTTACCAGAATCGTACGGTATGAAGCAATGCCAAGTTCGAAAAAATCAGCCACCCCAGAGGGTCCAAATCGTCCACATCCATGAGAAGGTGTTCAACCCCAAATAATGAGCGGCAAAACCAAACATGGGATTCATGAGATTCAGTATGAGAAATGCTAATCCATTGGTTGTTCAATGGGATTCATGGGATTTAGATGGATTTAGTATGAGAAATGCTGTGTAGAGAGATTTGTTTTCCATTGCTGTTCCTTTCGTTTTTGAAGCCAAAAATTGGATTTTTCCAGTGAAGGGTGTTGTTTAATAGGGGGCGACCACCCATGTTGACCAATAGGGAGGGACCAACCCAAAGCAATTAGTATTGTTTTTTTTTTGGAATGTGGGTGTTGATTACTGTAATTCACGGGTGCTTATTAATATATTAACATTATTAATTTGGTGTGACAAGTTACGGAGCAATTGCGTTCTTCTATTGAATGGGATCTTATGGGATTTATATAAGCCAAAATGGTCCAAAATGTAGATTTGATTGCTGAATAATTTTGGGACATGACATGGGAAAGTACTTCTTAAATGATGATACAAGGGGATAAGGATGGGAAAATGATCCAACATTGATCCAACCATGGGATATATAATTTTGGGTTTGGAGGGATTTTGGCTCTGCTTGGAGGATTTTTGGGTATCGTCAACCAGCTGCATGGTGCTATAACTCGCCAACATTGGAGATAATGGAGGATATCACGGGGATAGTGTGGGATGCAACATGATTGTGGGAGGATTTTTTCTCTAAGGGACATGCGTTCCATGTTTTTTGAGAATGTTCGGAGGATTTTTGGTTATGATTTGGGGACATGTGTTTGGAGGTCCAAAAAATGTCTCGATGGTGCGTCATTTGCCATCATTCTGTACTGGGTTGATGACATAACAATATCGGTTTCTGGGATGATTTTGATTTTTCAGGGTCGATTTCACATGTCAAATTCAGATTGGGCATGATAGCATTGAATGACGTCGCATTTCACATCAGAGAGCACAGGACCGGTTGATTCTAAGTCTCAAGTTTGAGGCGTACCTCAATTTCTGCCCATAGCAATTGATTTGAAAATTGTCCACCCTGGAACCGCAAAAATGATCAACAATGCAATTCCAAGAGGGAAAACTGTTGTTCTGTTCTAGAGTTCAAAGTGCTATGTCAAGAGGACCAGCTTGAACAATTGCAATTTGGGTCTGAAAACAAGCTACCCGGGTACCCTCAAATTTGAGGACAGTTGAATGGTTGATAATAACTGTCCCCACTTGTGCCGATCAATTAGACAACTTTTTTTTAACCCATTGTTTTCTGGCCGGCGGTAGGTGCCTAAGCATACTGTTTGATATCACCCTGAGGCAAAAAATGCAAAGAAACAATGTGGTAAACCCAATAATAAACAATTCCAATATCAATATGGCGATGGATGGAGAGAGAGAGAGAGATAGAGAGAGAGAGAGAAATATCACCATAAATGGCTGGTAGAAACCATCCCCAAATGGTAGGTTTATCATTGGGTTTCCACATTAAATGCAAGTCCATGAGGCCTACCGGCCTACCGTTTCCTTTTTCTGAAATACAAGCTGCGCCCAACTTGGCCAACAAGCGCTGACCTTTGCGGACCCATTTTTTCTCCTTCTCCATCTCAGCCGCACCTCCTTTTTTTTGGATTGCCCTTGAACTATTCCCATTTTGGCGCTGCCCCTAGGTTATGCTCATCCAGACTTGCAATCTGAGCGTGGCTTCCTGATTGAATGTTTAGCGTTGAACCCCAATGCCTTGCATTTCGTCCCTGCCACGATGCGCATGGACGTGGCTTTCCAGGCTGCGGCAAAGTCACATGTTACGGAGACAGCATTGCCATCCCCTGCGTGGTGAGGCTGAAAAAGGGCATTGCGTTTCAGTCACGACAGAATCTGAGGGAATGGTGACTATATATGGTGACTATATATGACAACCATCAGTTTTAGGATTTGGAAAGTGTGGCGTGGACTGCTGGTGCAAATGTCCGCACACCCATGGATGGAGAAAGATGTTTGCTGGGGTATCACCGTATCGCCAGAGTCACTGACTAACTGCGGAAAGTGACGCAGCTTTATGAAAATTGTTGATTTCAAGGATTCTACCAATCCCCTCCCGCTAATAACCTATTATCGGGTGGTATTTTGCATTAGGGTTTCAAAGCTTTCATATTTTGAGGTTTTTTGGGCATTAGTATTAAAATGTGTTCAGTTTTTTGCATTGTATTCCTTGTGAAAAGCTATATAAAGTATTGCCAACAATTGATTTCCAAGCTTTCCCCTAACAATAAAGTCAACACCTTACTAAATATACTAAAATTGCTGATTTCAAACTCCATAAGACTGATTATGCAAATCTATGTCAATTATTAAAAAACATTGTATTTCGATGCTTTCCTGATATCAACATGAAATCAACACCTTATATAAGAAGAAGACTATGTTTTTCGCTTTCAAGATCCATAAAATACCTAATAAAAATCAATTCAAATCCAAATACCGCCGAAACGTGGATTTCGAAGTGTTCTCCCCATATAAAATCAAGCATCAAACAAAATATAACTAATAAATTATTTTTGTCTGATTTCAAAGGCGGACCAAAAAATATAAGCACCCCCAGAGTAGACTAGATATTATATACATTTATATACTATTAGGGCGCTAAATCACATGTTTGGGTATTCTGTCTCCTATTGCTTTTCAATTGCCACAATTGAAAAACGCATTGCCAAGACAACAAAAACAATCAGCACAAAAGTTGGGAATGGATCCTAGTTTTACGATTTGGGGTTCGTTTCGTAACAGCATAGGCTTAGGCACATTGGTACTGAAATGGATCAAAGCCAGATAATGCCCAAAATAAATGTATGTGAACATCATAGTGTCGAATCTACTCCACTTTTTGATGTGGCTCGCCATTGCGCGAAGATGTATTTGCCAAAGCTCAAGGGAATACCGGTCCGGCGTTTTTTTTTGACTCACAGTCACGACAGATCCCCATAGTCCATATAGCATCGCAAGTTGCGCAAGTTGGACAGCAAATTGAACCACACGAAACGATCAAAAGCACACTCCATGTGGTAACTTTTGGGGCCATGTGGGCCATGTCTTTTATCCATTTCTATCCTGTGTCCCAGCATATCCCAGCTAACCATGGTGAGTTCGCCTCGGGCATCGGCTTCCTTGCACCTTTTAGGCGGGTCTGTGGCTACAGCGCAACTCAGCCCTGGGGGTGTCCGAAAAATGGTTAGAGTATACCCTTAAAAAAACATCTAAAAACCTGAATGGGGAAAGTGATGAGAGAAACACGGGGGCTTGGGGGTAGGATATTTTCAGACAGCGCCCACTTTTTGAGATCTGAAACCGCTGACGCCGCAACGGAAGATGTGCCCTTGCAGGAGCATGAGATCGTCCGGCTGCGCTTGGGCAGGCAGCTGGGTAATGTTGGTATGGGTATGTATGGGTTGAGAAAAACGACAGGATTTACCCTCTGGATCCCTCTGGCATATTAAGATATATGTGGAAAAAGAATGAAGAAGCCTTGGGAAAATGATCCACAAATATACTAGATGTTCCACCTGTTAAACTACTGCAGGGTATCCTGTTTTTCTCCATCAAAATTGCCAATTTTGTGGTATCCCCTAGTTCGAGGCGTAGGGACACATTTAATTTGATGTTTGAAGTTGCCTGGAGTTTTTGGGTGGGATAGGGTTTCCAAATGTTTCCAACGTGAAGCTGAGGATTTTGTATCATGTTTCCTTGTCAAGGTGGGAGACTGAGATCTGTTTTTCCCGATGAGGCAGATGGCCTTGACATCTTGATGTTTTGGAGGACTGGGAAAGGGTCAAGTTGGGATGGCTGCACCATTTAAAAGACGTGGAAAGACCATAGTCTGGACCAAATTTCTGAAGGAAGAGAGAAGCCAAGCAAAAATAGGTGTGTGTGTATAACTGGTGAGGGGGGGTGTATCTGGGATTTTTTGGGAGGCCGTTTAAACATGTTGTAAACTATCCGAGCTGATCATCGCTGGCGACGTTTCATGGCTCAAAGACGAGCCGTGGCATTCATAACTACTTCTTTCTCACTACAGGTAGGCAGCGTTCAGAATCCCTGTTGGTTGATGATTGTAGGGGATGATACTATCCGACTTACCCTCTGGTTATGACTGACATAGCCATGGTATAGATGGCCCATAGAAATAGATGGTTTACCTATTAATAGCATGGTGATTTTCCATGGCGAACTGTTAAATAACCAGATGGTATATTGGGAATTGTGAACATTGGGAATCCCTGCAACTCCCTATGTAAACATAACTGGCCCATTGTAAGGGCTGCGGACCTGCCAGGACCTGATTTCAAATCAACTTCGCTGCAACAGTCAACTGCAAACAACTGTTATTGATTATTACATAACTTATATTATATTAACCATGGTGGTATACAACTATGTTATGGTAGATGCAACTATGAATACTGTGGTACACAACTGAACTGACTTTATCTTTAATATTATTGCCAAATTATTGTTTCATACATGTTCAGTTTTGCCAATAACAAGCTGCAATTGATATCCCATTGTAGCAGGCCAGTATTTATAGCTATCATACCAGCTCCTAATAATCATGAGACAATTATCGTCATCCTGGAGTGGGTAGTATACAGAAATTCCGGAAAAAACTCACTAAAATGCGAATACGGTATGTTTGAACATCCCATAGTAACCATAGTATCATATTTTATCTACAAACCAGGGTGATTCATCCCTTTGTCGCTTCAGAGTCCAGCTGCAATGACCTGGAAAAGCCTGGGCAGTTCCTTCGACATTTCGTCCATTTACACGGTGAAAACAGGCGCCCGAAGCCCACCGGAGGAAGCCAAAGTGCAGGGCAAGGACTTGCCATCCAAGACAGATGCATGGTTAGCTTTAGGATTTTAGGCTTATGATTCAGTTTTGATTGGTTATGTATGGTTATGTATGGTTATGTTAGATGCCTTCTGGTCATCTAAGAGTTTTAAACATGGAAAAGATGGGACTGAAGAGGGAAAAATAATGGGTATCATATTTGATGATGCCAATTATGAAACCTGCGGTCATTGAACAGCTATGGAAATCCATGGAACATGGCCTGTTCGTAGATGATTTTATATGTAAATGTATATATTTGAAATGGTGGTTGATGTGGTTTTCCACTTCGCAGCCGGTTAGATATTAGCAGAAGGTAAACCCATGGAATTTCAGATTTGTTCCTGGTTTTTTCGGCCATGTTCCATCCATCTCCTGGAGAAATTCCAGCGAGGATGTGGGTGTGGAACACATTTTGGATCCCAGCACGGGACTTGGAATTAACTGGGCCATCCTGGCGTGGCGGCTTGGATGAAACACGTGGTTTTTCGCAACCAAAAATGGAGGTCAAAAACCATCAAAATGTGGTTGTTATTTGGTGTTAATGAATAATTGAATGATTTAAATAGAGAATAGTGTTACTGTAATGGATATTATCCATTTCAATTCTCGGAAAACAGAGAATAATTATGAATAATGATGATTGGATATGAGTGTGTCTGAAACAGGGGCATAATTACCCATAATATCTCGTTATTAAGATCGGATTAAAATGGCAGTTTGCGTGGAAAGTGGAACGGTTGACCATTGTTGGGATTCTATTGCTTGAGATACGCCCATCTGAATGAACTGTGTCAACTGTCATTAAACTGCCATTTGTTTTGTTCCAAGGCGCGTTCATTATTCACTGTTTGCGGGGTGAGAATCAATAAATCCCGGCAATGTTGGGGTGAACAGAAGAGCAACAGGCTGTTGACTCATATCCGAGCTGAGTTTCGCTCAGGCACTGGACCATGGTCTTGGTCTTTTTGCTGACTTACTTCGTTTTGACCTTCTGGACCACTCCTATGGAGGAAAAGTCCAACATCCCATGGTGACTTGCCAAGCGATGGTTGGATGTTGAGATGTTTGTGGTGTCGTTGTTGCCTTTTAATGTTTATCAAGATTCACCCAGGACACCAGGGCTGATAGGACTGGTAGCAGTGGATATGGTATCGCCAATTCAACCTTCGATTTGGGTCCATCCCATGGTGGATTCAAAGCTGCACCAACTGTGCTATGAGAAGTTGTTTTTCATGTTTTTTTGCTCAGAGGGTGATTTTCAATGCACACAGCTAAGACTTTCTTTGAATCTCTTAGGTCTAGGGTTTCGTCATGTTTCAACAGTTTCATTTTAAGCCACACATCTTGTAGAACACACCTCTGAGTTTCATAGCCACGCTGTGACCGCACTTAAGGTTGACGCTGTTTCAGAAGCTCATCGTTTTGTGGAATCTCTGGGAAGCTTTTTGGCTGGGTGTCAAGTCTGGGCCGCTGAGCGCCAAAGTGAATCCACCATTCCAGGACGAAATCTGAAGTTTTCGACGGCCACTTTGGAACATGGTGACACCCCAAGAAACTTGTTGAACTCATTTTTCATTGGGATGTAGTTTACCCCTTTCAGGTAAGCAGTGTGGAATAGAGTTCGTGGAGCATAGTGGTCTCTGTGTTGTGCCTGTTTGGTTGCACTAAACCTGACATTGACAAAACCATCCTGGAAGGAGTGCCATTTTGCCGCTGTTTTTTCCTTGCGCGCCCCGCTAGAGTGAAGTGTTAACGGACATGTTCATTTCCCAAGCGGCCTGTTGAAGGACTGGTGGTATCGATTTACAGTTGGGTCCATGAAGTACAATGCTCCATTCATGCCTTGTTTGCCAATGAAACGGTGCCTTGGTGTTGTTTCAGCGGGGTTCACATGCACAACGATGTCATTTTCCTTGGGTTAGGTTTGGATGGGTTACATGACTGACACTCGAGCACTCCCAAAGCTGTGCATAGAATCACCCACCAGCTGCGCATAAGTTAAAGCAGTTGGATGAATCTCTATGCCGAACTTTTGTTGAATGTTGTTTCACGGTCCAATTACATGGTTTTCTTTCACAGCATAGGCAGATACATGATGATACATGCATATAGTTCTTCATGAAATGGCCAACACGATTTCAATCATCAACAAATCACATGGAGATCACCTCATCCAGCGTTTAGGAACTACCTGGATATCTTTGTCGAGGGTTTCCTGATGTATGCCCTGACCATCCGTGTCCTTTGGGCGCAAGAAGTGACGCCAGAGCTGATACAACCCTTGGCGGCATGTTTGTGTCTCAGCTGAAGCTTGATTTCCATGCATTCCCATGGAGAAAACACGAGAAAACATAAAAAACACAGGCACTCATGATTTTAATTATATATACGTATATATGATGATATATGCAAATATGATCAAACATGGGCAGAATCATTTTGAACCACTCAAGTTGGGGTGACGTATATAATATCAGTCGTTTACCGCCCAGATGATCGTGGAAGTTGGACTTGTATTTTGGTATATTTTAGTGCTTCCTATGGCAAGGTTCTACGTTTGCTCTGGATGGTGAGACACTCAGGGGAGCAGCTTGGAAAAGGAACGCCAGTTCAGATTGGGATTTTCTGGACCTGGTACGGTTTATGCAGTCTAAAAACCTTCCATAGCTACATCCTACCACGGATGACTGAAACACGTAAAAGATTGGCCAATAGCATTTCCATGTGAAGGCCATTTGATTGTCGCTCCTTCAATGGTGATCGCCGCAGTAGCAGAGTGCAATTTCTTCAGTAGTTGATTGCCATCAGAGACTGAGCTGCTAGCAGACTCTTGCCAGGTGCAAGATTGGACCTTGGTTCAAGTATTTGAATGTGAGCAACTTGTGGTCTGCAAAGTTCATGGTGAGTGTACCGTGGTCAGACTGGTTTCGAAGAACTATGTACAAAGGACGGGACAGCGTCGTTTGCAGTGATTCTTTTCACATCTTTTCACCAGTTGTACGTGTTTGGTACCTTCTAGGGATCAGTCTAAGAAGTACAGCCAAAAGACAAGGTTGTGCATACCATCGTTTTTTTGTGTTAGCAATTTGATACCAACCTTCACATACCACATTATTTGAGTAACAGACAAAATTAGCGGAAGACTAAAGTAGTGGGGAGCGGACGATGTTCAAAGTTGTGCGAAAATATTCACAACCGATAGGGGGCCACCCACTTACCGATACCCTATGTTTACACATAGCATGGAAGTACAAACACGCACTTTGGCCATGTCCATTGCGGGTAATGAGTAATTTTGTCCGCCTCTCGTATTATGTTTCCATTCAAAATTCAAGGCCTTTCAGTTCCAATCTGTGCTAGTCACCTTACTTCATTGACAGTGTTCATTAAGGCATTTGTGGGTGTTCATATAAATGTTCGAACACGTAACCAATGCCTTTGAAACAATAGGTGTCGGCGTCTCTAGCTGCATGTATGCTGCATGTTTTCTTGCCGCGCAGGATACAAAAGTGCAGATGCTGATTATAGCCTGACGCGAGCTGCCAAAGTCTTCTCAGTGCTGTGTGCTTTCTGTGAAACCCTGGGAGCATTGTTGGTGCTCTCCAACGATCCCATCATTGTTCAATGCGGCATTTTCTTCATTTGCGCGATGCACCTCTACATTATCTCGACCCTGATTATTGATGTAGCCTCGACTTGAGGAGTTTTTCTTGGTTCCTGTGGTTCCTCTAGGTGACACCCAAATTGTGCAACAAGAAATGGTCCAAAGATGCGTGTTAACCCAAACTGTTGTCCCACTTGATTCGTTTGAATCAAACGAGGTGTTCACTTGGAACTTTGTGGATGCTTTGATGTATTGTTACATCTTCGGACTCTATGGGCCCTCAGTAGGCGCGGTTTGATGGTCTGCGTGCCAGCTTCTTAACACAACTACTGTAGTTCAGCAATGTTAAGTATACAAATATAGTATACATAAGTATATAAATATATAGTATACAGTATAATGCCAACACCGGATTAATAACCCCCCCAGAAGGTCAGAACTCTACCTTAGCAACTCTTAACCATAAAACTTTGGATATAGCTTACGTCAATTAGATCTTAATAGAATTCCAGTGGATTTGTTAAAATCTTATGGATCAGAAAGGTGGTTGATTAATCAGGGGCAAACCGTGGTTATTATCAATGGGGGACATGGGCTCATGGGGGGTACCCTTTGGGAGCTATCCAAACTGATGATTTTTATAAAGATTCCAATTAGAAATCGATGATTTGGGGAATAGTTGTTTTTTGAAATTTTCAATGATCAACTTAAACCTTAAGTATAACAGTATAACAATGATGATTAAAAAAAGTAAAAACAATTGGAAATAAATAGAATCGGAAATAAAATTTGTTGGATAAAAACATGGATTTCAGCAAAGGGGGTTGATTAATCATGTCCTAGCCAAACGGTTTATTAATCCTGGGGGACCACCTGTTTTTAAATTGCAAAAAAAATGGAGGAGGAGGTTGATTAATAACGGGGTGTTGATTAATCCTGACTTGGCATTACTATAGTTTCTCTTAGCAAACACATAGTCGGGAGCCAAAAGGCCTCCCTGGCAGCGTTCCATTTTTTAGCGGTCTGTTTATCAGGAAACCCCGGTGGCCTCAGGTGGAATCTGTTTATCTGGGCCGTTCGTTTAACGGGGCAACTGTTTTCATCGCATCGACTTGTTGTATCTTGTTGATGTATAAAATGATATATCATGATAATTAGTTAGTTTCATTTCTGAGTCATAGATGATGATCTGAGCATCTAAGCTGCTGGATGTATCATGAAAATAAGCTGCTGCCTCTGCCAGGCGAGGCAATGGGTTTCCAGTGGAGCCAACTCCCTCAGATGCACCCTGTGATCATTGCGGTTCTGCTTGCCCATGTTTCCTACAGCATCTATGGGAATTTGGTCCCGACCCATGAGACCTGGCTGCAAGTTAGGAAACGCTTTCTTGTTTGCATTCTATAGGTACTATATATATATACACATATATATCATATCTATATATATCTATCTATATTGTCAATGTCCATCGTGAAAATTTATATATATACATATATTTGTTAACATATTCAGGGGCTAGCTGAGCTTGATAGGATGTTTGATTCTTTGTGTCATCATTTTACTTAGAAAGTCAGTATTGAGTAGGTAGCTTGTTGCGTCTTGACATCACTGATGTCAAGCATTAATGTCTTAAACGATCTTAAGCAGTGGCCAAACTTTAGCCCCTTGAACCATTCATTTCAACTTCAAATAAGGGAGCTTGGAAAAAAATGCGCGCTCTCATGTCACTTTCATTTTGCAAGTCCCAGTAGCCTCACTGAGGCACTATTGTCTAGAGTCTAGGGTAAAGCATTGAGACGATGGGCATGGCCATTCTTGGGATGGGCACTCCTTCCACACCATCATCCCTCATGTTTCCGACAGTTGTCAGTGAGCATCATGAAATCAAGAGTGACCCTAATAATAGATTAGATAGTAAAATTATGTAAAATTCATAGATCTTCAATGAGCCCTATAAAATTGAGTCGTGGTTGATTTTAGTGGTTGTTGGTCATGAAAAATGTCATTCATCAGCCTCCAATGAACCTTCAATAAAGTCACACATTATTGGAGCTGGAGAGGTCACCATCCACGCTGAGGTTCCGTTTGTGGTGGCTCACCGCCACGCTGCCGGCAATTTCGCCACGGGCACGTTGTTGGTGAAGCACAGCGCCGCCGCGAAGCTCCGGAAGGCCGTGCTGAGGGGCTGAGATCATGTGACATTGGAGAAAAAAACAACAAAAAGGATAGATGGGGATGGTTACCCTCTGGTAAACTATCATAGCTATTGAAAATGGCCATAGAAATAGTTTATTTATCCAAAAATGGTGATTTTCCATAGTTATGTTAGTTTACCAGAGGGTAATGGTATGGCTAACTGAAATCCAGAAAATGTGTACACTTTTTACCAAAAAATCCTGTGGTAGGATAATTTGTTCTATCTTTTTTGGGTGTTTTAATGGTGCGTATCATTGCGTATAAATTAAAGCCATGTGAACGGTGGCAAGACAGCCCAGCTGGTGGCAAAACCCATGCCATGAAGAACTACACCATTTGGGGATGCTCTATGCCACCCATAAAAATGATTAATTTCATCATTGGGCATGGTTATTAGATGTTATTAGTGATAAATGTATTATAAATTAGTGATGCAGTTATTAGTGATAAATTAGTGATGGTTAACCATTACCCTCTGGTAAACTAACAGTTTGCTATGGAAAATCACCATGCTATTAATGGGTAGTCATCCACTATAAATGTTAATAAATTAGTGATGGTTAACCATTATGTCATGGCCATTTATAGTTGATTTAACCATAAAAAATTGTGATTTTCCATAGTTACGTTAGTTTACCAGAGGGTAACCGTTATGCATTAAAAAACACCATGGAAAAGCCACGTGGTGCTTCGAGGTCGTGGCACATAGCGGCTGCCATGTGGTGAAGGGGGCCGCGCCCGGATGGATGGGAGAGTGGCCACTGGGACATACGACGGGACGGGATGGGGCCCGGGCTCCAAAACAATTTGGGAAGTGGAAAATGACTCAATGACATACACCAGGTATATACTGCAATTATTTATAATTATATCCTTTAACTTATATATATATATAAGTGTGTGTGTGTGTGAAAATAACTATGCATTTACGCACATATATGCAGTATATATAATAAATGGGATATTAATATCCCTACTTGGCCACGGTTATTTATGGGTCATTATGAGCCGTTTATTTCTTAGGCCCTGGAACTCGTAACTTGGGATGCGACCAAGGCGTGGATTCCATTCGTCGATGGCCTACTTCTGGTTGTGGAATATGCCGCATCGGATGCTGCTTCCATTGACCTACAGTCAGGTCATGGGCAACGAGGAGACGTGAAATATTTCTGAAAGAGTTCGAGAAAGGCCCCAAATCATGTTTCCAACTGAATCTCCAAGACTTAAACACTTTGGCTGCTTAGTTTCAATTGAATGCAACCAGGAGTCGTACACCATGTTGCACTCTGTCGCGGCGTTGCACTCAGACTTGGGAATGGGTGCAGTCAAATTATTTTGACGAAGAGCGCCCCTTAGGGCCCCTTAGGGGTTGAATCACATGAAGCGCAGTTTCTTGTGCGCGACATGGACATGGCAATTTTATGCAATTTTGATATGCGTTGCTATATGTTGCTAGTGGCTTCTTTCAATTGCGAACCGCTCTAGGATTCCAATGAATTCGGCTTGAGCTTGAATCTGTTGCCCAAAGTCAAATTCCTGAAAGAGTCACTTTTGTTTTGGGATATCCTTTCTTCCCATTATATCATATCATATCCCCCTTTTCATCCCTATTATATGATAGATTCAGCCCCCTTAAGGTCTTCGATGCGCTGTGTGCGCATCTCCGCTTCGACGGCCTTAGCAATTTAGCCTTGGTGCGAGAACTGGGCAACGTGTGTGGCTTCGAGGAAAGTTCAGCATCTTCAGCTGATCTTGTGGGAAGATTTCAAGGCTGAAGATGTGGAGATACTGTGGAATAAAATAGGGGTAACCCCAAATCATCCATTTTAGTGGGATTATCTTTAAACCATCCAGCTATTGGGTAGAAATTCTGCACCAGTTGGAAGATGGTTTGTGTATCCATTTTGCAGTGTTGGCGTTACCAATAGATACCAACTGGTGCAAGATTTTCTCTATCCATGGTATGTGAGTTTGAGATCGTTCTGTTTTGGAAATCCAAATTTTTGGACATATATGCGGTCATATCATAGAGATATGGGGGTCAAGCACCCTAGAATTGACCTAGTCATTGACCTGGTCATGTCCTTAACCTTTGACTCCTGTCATGACATCCGGGTGTGTAAAGATTCTCCACCATTAGATGTCCCGCATTTCTGAAGAATTTGAAGTATGCCAATGTGCGCGGACACAAATGCAGGAGGGCGAATGCACGCTATGCTGGGTTGGTGCATTCCCTTCCTTTCCACAGCTTTGTAGCAGCATGGCCAGCTGGAAGGTGGTGGATAGCGTCAAAGGCGGGTCGTCCCATACAGGGGTCCCTTGCAAGATTTTTAGTTGGAGTCCTCAGAAAAGTCGAGCCCCTTGAGAATTGCAGATTTCGTTGGACTCCGTTGGACAGAAATCTATAGGAAATGGGGGACACCCATTATAGTTGTCTCTTGTCCATAGCAATATGATTCACGTGGGGGATGAACATCCAATCAGCTTGCTAGGTGTTTTTACACCAATGTACCGGGGCTTTGATCTATACGCTGCCAGGTGTAGTGCGAGAAGGAAGCTACACGGTGCAGGATCCATGCAGTGGGATGTGTGCTTGTCAGCTGAGTTGAACTGCGGCCGTTGGGATGGTAAACTGGGAATGCGTCGACATGTTAAGTATCTATTGTATGTATATGTATATATATATATGCATATATATATATATATGTATACATATATAGTACCTACTGTATTTATACCATTTTATATATTAGTTAAATGTGTATATCTATAGTACCCAGTGTACTTTAATATGTATATTGATTTTCATCAGCCAAATTCTGGGGTCTGCAATTTTGACCAAATCCATGCGGGCATTCCCTAACGTTCAACAGGAAAGTCACAAGGTGTATCAATGGCCAGAGAGAACTGTTGGATCATAATGGATCATACTTCACATGGAATTGAGATATGCCTCCAATGTATCAAGGGCCCATCAAGTCATCAACAAGGGTGTATAATTTTGCCAGCGAGACGTAGCATGTTGTCCGATAATGTCCAGTATATAAATATATATAATATGTGCTTGTCCAGAAGCATCATGAACGATATGTGAACACTGGGACAAATGGGTTCAAAGCTCTTGTAAAAAATAAGTTGATATTATAGTTCTCACCCACCTAAGAGGGATACTGATATGTGATATTTCCGTACACTTCGATGTGCTGTCAGGGTGACATGCAACTGTTTGCAGGACGTGGAAGACCCTGCATACAAGAAGCCGTCGGACTGCAAAAACATCAGCCTCTTCCAAAAGCTGTCTCTCACGAAAGCTTTGGTGTTTTAAACGATTTGGAGGTTTCCTAAAATTGGGATACCTCCAAATCATCCAAGTCATTAGATAAGACTATTTTAGATTGAAACCTATAGTTTTAGGGATCCCCCATTTTCAGAACCCCCCATGTGGCATTTGTACAAAAATGAAAACTTGCTGTTTTGTGACGCCGGGGAGTTTGCGCCTGGGGGTGCACGAACTCTCCTTAAAGGGCCACCAAACAACATGTAGAGATACACGTCACGACAGGCCCAGGACACTGGGCCTTTGCAGCTGACCAAATGCAGAAAAAACGGAGCTGGATGCAGCTGTGATGACTATGACAGTGGCAACTGCACGAATTTCCTTTGAAAGTTGCACATGCTCGCCAAGTAGCTAGCATATCCTCAGACTCCTTTGGTCAGGAGTGCTTGAAGTGGATCAACTTCATCTCGCCGAGCAATCAGCAGATTGGTCGGGGCGAAGTGAACGATTGGCCGCAGCTGGATGCTCTTGGCCCCGGTTGTTGCTGAGGCTAGTCATAACTTATTGACGTGTTTTTTGGGACCTTTTTTCCCGATATAGCAAGCCCCAAAGGGGTTGCTATCGCTCAGTATGGGCTCCAGGTTGCACCTGTGTTGGAGTGATGTGGAGTGTATAATGTAAATGTGTTTACAGCCCTGCGCGCGCACACACATACACACACATACAATCACATACATATCTATATATTATATAATTATTATATATATATTATAATAATAAACAATAATTATAGTAATAACAATAAAAATAATAATAACAATAATAATAATAATTAATAATACTAATAATTAATAATTAGTAATAATAATTAATAATAATAATTAGTAATAATAATAGTTAGTAATAATAATAATAATTAGTAATAATAATAATAATATATATATATAATACACACTGTAATCATACCAGCATTTCGGTGTTGCGCCTAGGTTATGCGTAGCCAGACTTGCAATCTGAGCGTGGCTTTCTGATTGCATGTTTGGCGTTGAACCCCAATGCTTTGCGGAGACATTGCCATCCCCTGCGTGCTGAGGTTCAAAAAGGATCTTGCTTTGCTCATGGCCTAAACAAAGTAAAGGAAATGGGGTGGCCGGGGTGGCATTCGTTTTTTTTTGAACATATTCACATCCATGAGCACCAACTGGGAACTAGAAATGGAAGGTCGCAGCCCAGGTGAGGTTTTAGGTCATCAACTGTCAGCAATTTCTTGGCATCAAGCAATTGGATAATCCAGTAAAGTTGGTGTTTTTACTTTTGGATACTTGTTGGTAGTGACCCAAATCTTTGTTTCGCATGGTTTCGAGTTATATCATGTTATATCCGGTGTTTTGGGCGACCCCAAATCTGCCACAAAAAACGGGGATGGGTCAAAACAGTAGCTACAAGAGGCCATAAGTTTTCAAGATGAAGATGATTCGGAGGATGAAGCATCCAGCTATCTCGTTATATCAGTTATTTCGATATGAAGTCCAGGTTGCCAGGTTTTTGATTCGTGATTCCCGGTCCACTTTTTTTTAGTTCACAGTGCTGGGACGAGTCCATCCGCACCTCGCTTTGACGAAGTGAGCCCCCGAGCTTGGCTTCTGCGCACCATTCGACGATATGAAGCTTGGCACACCTTGGCACAGCTTGGCGCTGGTGGGGTGGAAAGGCGAAAGCTGGAGAAAGCTGGGATGGGTAGGTCTTTCCTGTAGATTTTCCCTTATAGACCCCCCCAAAAGAAAAAACTTTTCCCATGATGTTCCAAGAGTATGTTTCCCTGTGTTTCCCCTATAACTTCTCCAGGTTTCCAACGTTTCCATCCATGACTGATGATTGCCAAAAGACTTTCCATTGCACCTCAGCTTCCATGGAATTTCTAGGGCCCTATTCCCATCATGACCCATGGTCGCTTCCCATTCCAATCTTCTAAGGGTGACCATGGGACCATGGGAATAGGCCATCATTGGTCAACACCGTGGCATGCCGTGGCGCCCCAAGGAACCACGAGGGAGTGCAGGAGTTGGCCAAGGTGAACTCTGTGAGCAACGTGGTGGCGCGGGTGGTGGCGCACAGCAAGGGGGTGCCGCTCCCGGTGTCATCCAAGGCACGATGGATTCGATGGATTCCCCGGGAATCCAACATGGCTGGAACATCCTCATCAAAAAAATGGGGATAGGATTTTCATGGTATTTTTCAAAAAAAGTATCATGTTCATGCTTTTTTTGATGGATGAAATCATCTAACCAGCCATGGATCAAAAAAATTGAGGAAATCATCTAAATGGATCTAACAATGGTAGGTTCATGGTAGATTTTCATGAGCTTTCCAATTGCCAAGCTAGATTACAAGAGGCATAATAAATCACGAACATGGCCTTTGGTGGAAACTACATGAGCTAACTAATCTTAGACCCTGGTTTTTTCTTCAAGGTCTATGTCTGTCTGGGGCAGGGTAATGATGATACATGGATATACATGGATATGGCTAGTAATGGATGCAATGGATTTGTCGGTGATATGATATTTGATATAGTATGCTATGGATTTTATAGGATTTTGTTGGGTATTAATGGGATACATAGTTATAAGTAAGTTATAACACACACAATATGGATATGAATGAATGTTAATGGGGTTGTTAGCCATTCATTTGGATAAGTTAGATCATGACCTCAAGTAGCGACCTCACTGTACTGATGCTTAGAATTAAGAGAATCATCCCTTAATGGCCTTATTTCTTTTTTCAGTCTAGATTTCTTGTAAATTATCCAGGATTACCCAGGCATGTGGAAAACTTATGAAAACTTTAGGCCGCACAAGGGTGGTCTATTTTAGCGTCCTTTTTGTTGGGCCTAAATACGTTTGTGGCCTGTTTGTTTGTGGCTGAAGAGTCGTGTGTATGATCCCTCCCAGCCGACCACTTGATTTGGCCAACGAGATTTAGCGGCACCTCTTACCAGGTCAAAACATGATGCCCGCAGCAAGAGCACATTGAAAAGCCTCGAGAAATGTCCCACTTCCGGATGATTCTAGTAATTTCAAGTGTGGTTTGCCACTAAACATCACCCTTCGGTAAAACATGGCATGGAAACTCCCATCAAAAATGGGGTTTCCATGGGGGACTTTCCAGGGACACACTGTGCCAGGTGACGTATAACTCCAACACGGGCCGCTGGGCGGCCGGAGGGGTCATGGGAAGATCTTCCTATGTGGGATTTGTATTCCCAAATCAACATGCGGACTTTCCAGTTTGAAGTGATCTATAATATATTATAATATACCGTCTCTAAATATGTATATCATATAGAAATCAAAATTGTGTGTAAAGAAACGGTTTCTTATTACCATCTTATATAGAACTTGATTGCAGCATCTCTGACTACCCCAAAGGTTTCTATGGCATGATATGCCCGTTAGAAAATCACTGATTCAAGTGCATAAACTGCCCTCAATTGTTGACTGTTGATCCATGAATGCTGCCAATACACCATGCTCATTGCGGGAGTTTTTGATCGTTAAACCATGTGAAACCCCTGATTTTGTGGCTCCCCTGAATCGCCATTCATTTCTGGCGGCATGTAAGGACAAGGATGGACCATGTGGAAAGATGTGCCTTTCAGCGCTGACTCGGGCTTGATGTCCGTCGTCATCCCTTGCGGAGGTCGGGTTTGCCATGGCGGGGGGAAATGGCCTGGTTCTGAGATGGAAAAAATCGATTGATTTTTGAGGTAGAGGGCTACTAATTGCAACCAAATGCTTCAAAAAAATGCCACAGTGATCAAAAGTGTACATTGAAGGAAGCAAGTAATTTAATATGGATCGTCCCAGATCGTCCCCGTCCTTCAAGCACTTAGATACGCAGCCCAAGCGCAGAGAGGTGCAGTGGTCGTCTGTGTGGTGATCGCGCGGATGTTGAAGAAGTGAGATGCTGCGGATTGGCCGATGAGTTCCTATGTGACCGGGTTGCGCGAGTAGCCTGCAAGGTGATGATATGTGCATGTGCCTAAATGTCCTAGATCTATAGATGTAGAATGATGTAGATGTAGACTACATGATGTAGATATGATTTCTGGTTGTCATTTATTCATGCGTATGTTTGTACATAGTATGCCCATGACAACTGGCATTTGTGGACGGTTCAAAGCTGCTTCATCACATGTACCCCATTTATTCTTGCAATCTCTATAGGCTATAGGTGTTGTTCCTTGCTTGGGAAGTGGTTCAATCGGAGCCATATTTACCTTTGTTTTGAAAGATGTGGCCGACTCAACAATCAGTCCTTTTTTGTGTTTCATCTTTCTTGCTGTGATGTGTTATTTGCAATTCTTATTGGTGCCAAGTTGAGACACTTGAATTTCTTTGGACATGCCAATCCCATTCTGGTGTCGTGGCTGGCGCGTGCGCAACCCAGTTTGGCCATCCAACAGGCAAATTGACGGCCAGTTGATTACCGATTTGCCTTTTTGATTGCAGTTTGAAGCAGAAAACAAAACATATTTGAGGTTACTCCGTCGAAGTCGAAGCTGCACCGTCGCGCGCGGCAGCAGCCAACTTTGAGGTTACTCCAATATGAACCATGAACCATAATTAATCATGATTATAAGAACATATAAGAACCTTCCCCATGAAGACAATGGGCGATCATATTTTTGATTGACGACCTTTTTGTATCTTTTTATATTTGAATCGGATTAATTTTGCTATGATATCCTGGTATCTCGTTGAAATAATATGTTCATTCGGATGTAACAATAAGATTTGATTTATGGATATTTATGATATTTTATAATAATTATTCAAAAAATATCCTTACAAAATTTTAAAAAAAAATAATTGGGAAATCTATTTATATTAAAAATCAAACCCTTATAAAAATTATTATTATATGAATTCGCGGAATAAAAAATAGCAAAAGAAAGGAAATAAAGGAAAAACACAAAAAAATAATAGGAAGGAAAAATAATGGAAAACAGAGAAAAAAATAAAGAATTAAGGCAAAAAAAAAAAATATTTAAATATATATATA